GATAATATGACCATTCACGAATGGAACAAAGATTATTTAGTTTGTAGGGAATGGTTGTGGACGAGTATCACACGAGCGAGGGATTTTAACAATGTCTATTTTTACAAGAACAAAGAGGGAGATGAAGATATGTTTAAGAGTTTGGTAATCAACTATTTTAAAAACAAAGTTGAAGGATATAAACAGCAAGATAGAGTAGCAAAAAGAGAAATAGACGAAGAGCAATACATTGACGAAAACTGGTGCTTAAAATACTTCAAATCCTGTTGCCAAAACTGCGGAATTAAATTTAATCTAGATACAAGAGGAGGAAAGATAAGTTCTAACTTCACTGCTCAACGTTGTGATAATGAGTTATGCCACACAGTTGAAAACTGCACCGCCTTTTGTGTCTATTGCAATTGCAGCGCGTCATGAATAATTTTGAAAATGAGTTTTTCAAAATTATTTTATTAACTTAATTAATGAGTTCAACACAAGAAATTATTAAGAGTGTATATTATGATAGAAGCGGTTATGGTTCAAAACAAACAACCCTCAAGGATGCTAAGCAAAAAGATAGTAGTATTACAATTAACGATATTAATGAATTCTTTAGTAAGAATGTAGAAGAAAAAAGAAAGATGAGAGGTGAAAATAGTTTTATTGCTCCGCATAGTTTCTGGGAATTTCAAGTTGATATGTTTTTCATTTCTAAAAATGATTTGGAAAATCAAACATTTAAAATTGGTATGATATGCATTGATATATTTAGCAAATATATGCATATCGTGCCTATCAAGTCAAAGCAACCGCCAGACATTTTAGCAGGAATGATGGAGAATATCAATAAGATGGGTGGCAAACCGAAATTAATTTATACCGACGAGGAAGGCAGTTTTTTTAATCAATCAGTATTAGATTATTTGAAGGAGGAGAAAATTGAATTACATAGAACTAGAGGTCATCCAGCATTTGCGGAGCGTGGAATTCAGACTTTTAAAGATCAACTGTTTAAACGAGTTGAAGCGGACAAGAAAAATGGAAAGCAGAATATCCAATGGACGGATTATATTTTTGAAATATTATTAACTTACAATAATAAGAATATTCATTCCGCAACTAAATTTACACCGAAGGACGCAAGAATGAAAAAGAATGAATTTGAAGTAAAAATGAATATTACAATGCAAGCAAGAAATACTAGAAAATACCCTGAGTTGTCAGTGGGTAGTAATGTAAAAATAATGAGAAAGAAAGGCATAAGCGAAAAGGCACATACCAGTCATTGGTTAAAAGAAGTATTTAAAGTAAAATCAATTGATAGTAAATTAGGGCAATCTTACTTTCATTTGGAAGGAAAAACTAGTCCTTATTTGAGACACGAATTATTGAAAGTTTAATATTAAACGAAATACAGTTAAAGAAAAAACGCCTTATATTATTAGTGAAATGTTATTTAATTATTCAAATTGCGAATGTTGTACAACTAAAAGGAATGATGTTAATATAACATTGTATAAGTTATTACCTGCTAATCTATGTAATAAAATAAGTGAATATAATGTATACTGCAATCAATGCTGTATAACAAGAGACCTTGAAAAGTTTTTTCTTGAAGAACATAAGGACAAGGGATATACAAAGTTTCAATTACAGTTAAAATTCTTTATGCGACACCAAGCAAGATTTCCTATACACTTTTACCAGAAGATTTCCAGAAAGTCATATGAAAATGAAATTGATGAATTCTTTAGTAATATAGATTTAATTAGGAGGTTTGGAGGAATAAACGCAATTAAACCATACAAAGCATTTGTCAAAAAATACCGTTATTTGTTTGAATGGATTGACTGGCATTTATTAGACAAAGATAAAATAAACGAAGTCTTGAACGAATTTAGAGCAACTAAATATAGTATATGGTATTACTACAACACTAAATATAAAGTATGTCTATTGTTGTATTTATTCTTTTGGGAATATATTTATTCAATAATAGGAAAAAACAATATCAAATATATATACATTGGTGATATAGATAAATATGTAGATTACATATTTGAAGACATATTGCCTGACCATTATTTTAATCCATAAACCTTACAATAAAAAACATTGTAAGATTTATGATTTCAAAATGACTTGAAGAAATAATAACTTAATATATTATAGTAAAATGAGTGATACAGTCGGTATCAATGCTAAAAATATATTGAAAGACAAATTTATGAGTTATAAATGTGATGACTGTGAAATGCTCAAATTACCAATTGAACGGGGTTTTGCAAATGGTGTTTGTAATAATATTTGTCAATATATAATATGCAATAATTGCAATAGAATTATAAAAAATTGATATGAATAACAAGGATATTGATATTATAAATAATGAAACTATTGATGATGATTTAGAAATATTTGTATTTATTGAAATGAATAATTTCTTAACTATAGAAGGATTTGATAATTTATTGGAATGTAACGACGAAGGATATAATAATGATTTTATTTTTAAGTATTATAGTATTGTAAAACAATTATACAATATGTCTTTTAATATTAAACGTTTAAAAAATGTTGTATTGTTTGATTTTTTAAATGAGTTTTTAAATGATGAGTATAAAACTCACGAACTTAGATATACAATAAAACGTGCGATTGGAATAATGGGAATGTTTAGAAAACAAATAAAAAATAATTTTTATAATGAAACAACGTGTGACAAAATAATAGAAAGAATTAAATTAATAATTTAGTTTTAGGCGAAATAGTCCTAAAGAAAAAACACCTTATATTAATAGTGAAGAAATGAACGGTATTGAAATCAATAAGTATATTAATAAGAAATGCTACGACTGTTGCCACTTTAAAAAAGAAAATATGGAATTGTATAAATTAAATTTACCTAATGGAATAATAAATAATATTATTGATTATGCTTTGGGTGAAGAAGATTTATGCGAAAATTGTAAAACCTGGAGAGATAACCAAGCTATAATCAAATGTTTGTTGAGATTAAAAGGAAGACATAATAGAAATGTAGAAGATGACATTTTGATATTTTTAACTGTGTATAAATTACCACCTTACGTTTATGTTAAACAGTTTCTTAAAATCAGTAAGAAAAAATATGAAATGATTTATGATATATTAAGGATGTTGTGTCATAGTCAAAAGAAAGGAGATGATATTAAAGAATATATCAAGTTTTATATTGAAATTTATAAAAAGTTTAATGTTAAAAACACAGTGAGAGATATTAATATTATTTTTAAAATGATGTATGAAATAAATGAGATTTGTCAATTAAATTATTATCCTGAACTTAAATTATAAATTACACCATAAACCTTACAATAAAAAACATTGTAAGATTTATGTTTTGAAATTATGGGGATTTTATATTTTGGGATTTTGGAAAAATATATTTTGGGAATTTGGGATTTTGGGATTTGGGAATTTGGGATTTTGGGATTTGGGAATTTGGGATTTTGGAAAAATATATTTTGAAAATTTAGAAAAATATTTACAAAATTTATGTATCAAATCTTGAGTTGAGGTTCTGTTATGAAATGATGAAAAAATATTATGTGAATTGGTCGGTTGAGGGGATTTTATATTTTAGGATTTTGGAAAAATATATTTTGGGAATTTGGGATTTTGGAAAAATATATTTTTGAAAATTTAGAAAAATATTTGTAAAATTTATGTATCAAATCTTGAGTTGAGGTTCTGTTATGAATTGATGAAAAAATATTATGTGAATTGGTCGGTTGAGGGGATTTTATCCAACTGGGGCCTGGCCTTTGGTAGGTGATAAACCCTTTTTTGTAAACCCTGGCGGATTCACGGGGGTGTCCCGTTTTAGGGATCCTTCGCTTTTGGTGGACAAAGCACCTGGTCCTCGGTGTGCCAGGTTGGTTCATCCCGGGCAAACATCATTTGAGATCTCGAAGCCTAAAGAAACAGTGTCAAGGCCCTCATTCTAAGATGAATGAAAATTGCCGGAGGGGAATCGCCCTTTTGAATTCGTTCATCCATTTCCCACGCTGAGGAGAAACTATTGAGGAAACTGGCCAAAAAAGCTTGCTCATGGAATCCAACCCCACACAGTTTCCTCAAAACAAGCCCTTGCCGTAAGTTTATTTGTAAAACCTGAAAAAGCCTTAACAAGGCCATGTTATTTCGGGGAAACAGGGAGCCCGGAAAGACGGGGGGGGGTGATGGGGTTGGGGGAGGGAGGCTTGGAACCGGGCGGGGTTGGCCAAATGGACCGAAACGGGCAAGTTGTTCCAACAAATTTGGATGTGTCTCATGGTTGATTTCCTTGTGGTGCCCCTTTAAAGCCGAGGGAAAAAACAACGCACCCAGCCCCCACCGACCCAATTCGAAGCGAAGCGAGTTGCGCCTCAGAGAATAGCCCCGGCTGGCGTCGGAGCGCCTCCCCGAGTAGGCGCCCCACCTGAAACGGAACCCTTGAAGGTGTCTCAATATGAAACCCCGAAATGGTTGCCGCCCTTTTGGTATCCCTTACACCATGCATCATTTGGCCAAAGGAATTGTAGAAGGACTTCAGCTGCGTTTCGATGCAGGCATGTATGTGTGTGTGTGTGTGTGTGTGTTTATACATGATACATTTATACATGCATTGTCTGTATATATATATATATGTGTGTGTGTGTATGTATATATGTATATATGTATATGTATATATCTATGTATGTATATATATGTGTGTGTGTATATTGTATATGCATTGCGCATGGAGAAGCAATGCAAAAGCTGGAAATCGTCGAGAACTCGGGAATAGACATGCGCTTGAGACGCAGGTTCCGCCCGCCTATCGTGCAACTCGCTTGCAGTTCGCTTGGGGTCTTCGTCTTTGCACAATTCTGCAATTCTGCAACACCTTTAAGTTGCTCCACTTGTGGGCTTCGAAAGCCCTGTGCGATGCGAGAAACGTTGCACAAAAAGATTTGAATGGGTGCTGCAGGCGGCATCCTCGCTATTCTGAACCCTCAAAATACAACAACTTTGACAGTTCCTGAAAGGATGCATCCAAAAACCACCTGCTTTACAAGGAGTTGGATCCCATCAATCAGCTGGTATTTGGGTGATTGTTTGAATGGCCAAATGGGTTTGTCTCCAGGGAACCTTCTCTCTAAAACAACCAACAAAAGGAAGCCCTCAAAGACCGCCACAAATGCATCCTTTAAGCGGACATGGGAGACAAGACACATTCTTGGGGTAGCTGATTTCAAAGGAACCCCATGGAACCCCCCTTCAAGGGGAAAACAGGGCGCTGGACTCCCGATCGCCTCCCGAGGATCGTTGCCGTAGGCGCCGCAGCCCATGTCCGGCACCACCAGAGCACCTTCGCGCGCCAGGTCGTGGCACGCCTGCAGCAGCGAGTCCAACTTCTGCTGCACCAAAGCGCAGTAGTCGCCCGTGTCCTGAAGCTGGCAAAACGCAAAGTCCCCAATGTCCTAGATTGGGAAGTTGGACAGCTAGATACTAAGGCAGATGGATGGCCAAAAGGGCACAGGGGGTAGGGCAAGCCACTGGAAAGGGGAAATCCTGGCAAACTCCAAGGAATCTTTAGATGCTTCCCCAGTGCCAGTTACCTTTTGGGCCCTCAAAATCCCTCAGGCAAGGTCGCAAGGTTGGGTCGGGACCCACGGAATCGCCGTGGCAAAATGGCGGACCTTGGCCTGGCACCAGCCCTTCAAGCCATTCCTCGCAGGAAATGAGACCTGGCAGAATCTGCCTGTCCTGCGGGGCATCCAGCGGCGCATCTCGCACCTGCGGGTTGCGGTTGGGCATTGCCACGCTGACCACGCCCATGGTAGCCGCCTTGGGGAGGAAGGGGTACCCAGTATCCGTGGAGCCTCGAAACATCTCCACAGAGGACACCACCACGCAGCCCCTCTCAGGGATGTGGCAAGTCCAAGGCTCCCCAGATCTGCTGCAGGGCGGCGTGCAGTAGGCGCTTGCCGCAATCTGCTGCGATTTCGCCATGGCCTCTGCGCGCCGCAGCCCTTGGAACAGCGTGGAGCGCATGCAAATGGACTCCTCCATGGTGGCCAAAGCACTTTCTGCGACACCAAAAAAGTGGGCTATCCAATTCAAAGACAACTTTGATTACTTCATCACTGAAAGTGGGGAGGGACCCCTGGGTATCACAAAGCGTTGCAACCTAAAACCAAAGTTTCCACAACCATGGACTCCTCCAGCGCGTGGCGCCCTCCAGTGAGGAAGCCGCCCCCGGAGTGGTAGGCCGAGGCGGCGTTCACCGCCGCCACAGAAACGCCCGCTGCAGCTCTGGAGGAGGCGACATCCATCAAAGCGCCCGGCGGGTGCCGGAAGAAGGTGGTGCTGCAGCTTCCTTGTCTCAAAGGGCCCGGCTGCACAACGAGCCGCACGGCGCCAACGGCACTGAGCGCCACCCGACGGCCATCCAGGGCATAGCCCCCCGCCTGCACGGCCGCCAGCGTCTGCTCAGCTCCGGCGCGGCGCAGCTGGCGGTCTTCCTCAGCGTTGGCCTTGCGAATCCAGTCGAAGCCGTCAGACCGGCGCGGCAGACACCCCGCTTGCGGGGAGGCGAAGCTGAGCCCATCTGGGCCAGGCTGGCCAGGGCTCGGATGACTCACGTTCAGCCTGGAGGGGCTTGAGTGGCTTGAAGCTGGAGATGCTGCAGCGCTCTGGCTGCCAACTGTGGAAGCGCCCATCACCACATTCTTGGCACCCACCCAGCCACAAACCCGGCCCCACCGCACCTGCACAAATTGACCCTGCCAGGCGAGCGCTTCGCCATGGCTGCCGCTGGGGATGACACTCACCACTGCCCCAGCTGCAGGTTGAGCGAAAACTCGGACCTCTGCGTGGCCGTCAGCTTGCCGCAGCAGCACCGCGGACGTGGCAGGTGGAGCCGTAGCCGTCCCGCCCCAGTGGTTTGGAGGTGGCACGGTGCGGGCTACCACAGGGAGGGCCGGGTTGGGGGGCCGACTTGGGTAGGAGGGCCATGCCCCAGGCATCTCAAACTGCGGGTTTGGATGAGCGTGGGCTGGGGGATTCGTCGCATGGGACCAATTTGGTGGATTCGGCGCATAGGACCAATTTGGTGGATTCGGTGCGTGGGAGTGGACTAAGGGAGCTTCGACAGGGCCATCGCGCCCGCTAAGCTCACTGCACACCTTGGCTCCCATCCTCGCGTGGTCAATGCCGTGCGCACAGCCCTGAGATCATTGAACCAATTGGGCAAAAGCTTAGCTTGGCCCAGGACAGCTGCGCCATGATTTTGCCCCAGCACATCCCAGCACGGCCAAACCCCCCAAGCCACAAATCGCAGCAGTGCCCATGCGCTTTCAAGGATCCAATTGTCTCGATGTACGCTTTCCATGCGCCAAAAGCTTTGCATGTCTCACCGCAGGTGACGTGGGAAACAAAACTGCCGCCCAAAGCCTCGGCCCTTGCCCGACCGAGGCACACCCATGGCATCGGCCGGCATGCTTCCAAGCGCCTGGAGAAGCTTGGGGTGAAGACCCACCCCCCCCCTCCCCACCCAGGTCGCCATGAATGCTGCCGACGCCCCTGCACATTGACATGCAGCTTCATATGTCAAAACCTCCTCACGCGGGTCATGGTCATGGTTCCTTGAATGGGAGCCTTGACATTGGTCGTCTACACCGATATCAAAAGCTTGACCATCCTTACCAACTCCAAGTGAAGAGGCCTTGTGACCATAACACATACGAAAATGGAAAAGTGAGGCGCACAACTTCTTTTGGCGGCGAGCCGGGCGCTGCTCTGTACATGGCGCATGGCGCATGGCGCGACTCTGGAAATGCTCAAGGGCGAGCACAGGCAAAAACGCCCTCAGCGGGCCCCCGGTCTCTTCAAAGCCTACGGAAAACCGGGGGGCGGGCAGATTCCTCTCAACAGGCTTGGCCTATAACCGAATTGTACCCTCGAATTGAAGAACCCTCAGATCAGCAAGTGCACGAGGCTCAAGCAGGAACCACCTAGGCCACGAGGCTTAAGCAAACCGACTGAGCCAACTGAGCCACAGCCGTTTCTAGACACAGCCCGCTTGAGCTTGCATAGAATCGGCCCCAGCCAGCTCACAGCGCCAAACTCAGCCACTGGCACAACAGGCAACTCCAACTGGTGCAGATGCAATAAACCTCCATCCCCCTTAGCCCCTTGGCCCCTTAGCCCCCCCTTTAGCCCGTTAGCCCCCAGCCCCCCACGCCCCCCTTTCTTCAGAACTTCGCCAAAGCCACCGGAATGCTGGCCACCTCCCCTCGGATGGCCGCTTCAATCCACCAACCTCCGAGGAAGCGGGTGGTCTTCTTCTTGAACCCATCCCCATCAAAGAGCAGCTCCACGTGGCCCGCCTCCGCAAGAACCTCGCAAGAAACATGCACAAAACATATGTTCATTCCAGTCTCAAAAGGGTTCAGGGGGCTTCCCCGAAACAAAAGTCGTCTTCCTGCCAGCTTCCATGATTGTAGGACTGGCAACCCGTTCTGTGATACAAAAGTGGCTGATTCCCTTCTCATTTTGATAAGGATTCCCTAGATATCAAAGAATCTGTCCCTGAAACCGTGTGTTTCGCAATCACGGCAAGAGATTCTGCGAAATGAATGCGACCCCCGGCTGCGACAAGCCTCGATTCCAACCCGAATCTCTGCAATCACCGTTCTTTTAAAAGACCCGCGGTGTCCCATGCGCTTTCTTTTGGAGAGGTGAGGGGAGGTCTGGAAAGCCTGGGAGCAGACTGAGGCCATAGAGTCCGGATAGCTCAGCATGGGCATCCCATGGGCACATTGCCTCTCTCAATGCCAAGGTCCGGCCAAAGGCGACTAGATGTGTTGTCTTCCGATGGGCTGAAGCTCAACTAGCATTTTGCAACACGGGGTTGGGGAAAAAAAACACACACACACACACACACACACACACACACACACAGACTTTGCTTTGATAGCGCAGTGTGGCTGGGTGCGTTACCCTTGCGACGAGCTCAGGTCTCACTTAGCATCTGCTTTGGAGCAGGTGTTGGGTTCAAGTCTAATTGGCAGGATGGAGCTCATACTAATGTGCTGCAGGCTGGTTTTCAGCTGGTTGTTGTGAGGGTATCATGCTCCGCCTGAGGACTTCTTCAGCGTTCCTCGATGTGTCTTGTTTGCTCCGCAGGTTGGCCCTTGTAGAGGAACACCCTTGAACATGTTTTGGGGTTCCAAGGTCCATGTTATCTGCAGGGGCGTATCCTGAAAAGGAAGTCGAAGATCTGGCTTGGAGAGCCTGCCAGAAACTCCGGCGCTTTCGATTGGTGGCCACTGGGGGTCCTCAAAACCCTAAAACGTCCGCGCCTCCGGCGCCTCCACCACCTGGCAGATCTCCCCGTGGCGCTCCTTATCCCACCCGGGCTGCCGCACCAACCGCAGCCGGCCTCATGCGAGAACCCCCCCCCCACCCCAACAGGGGGTCCCAGAGTTCCCCAGATTTTGCTCCAAACTCAAAGCCGAAAAGGGAAATATGGGAACTTCTGGCGACACAACATAGAACCCGAAAGGTGGCCCTCTGAAAGACCAGTTTCCGGTGATCCTTCGGGTGTCATGCCTGGTTTTGGGAGGGTATTCGTGATGGTGGATTTGGTTGGCTTCAGCTCCCCATCACGGGTTTTCAGGCAGCGCAGTGCCCCTCCAAAAGTGACGAGGTCTTGTAAGCGCACGCAGCGGAAAAATTGACAGGAGCAATGTGCTGTGCAAGCCGGCAAGAACATCAAGAATCGTGGCACTCCCATGATTGCCGTAGATGCTCTGTACTTGGTGCCTCTTGAAAACCATGGCACGGCCATTTGCAGGGATCATAGAAACCAGACATTTGCCTGAAGCACCCACCAAAACCAGGGCGTTGGGGCCAAAAACACCTGGAAAAAGTGACGTTGGCCTCTTTGTAGAGGGAAAAAGCCTGCTCTTCGGCACAGCCGCTCCCGGGCCGGAGGTCCAAGCGCATCTTCTGCGTGGCAGAGAGGCGGCCATTCGCGTCGTAGGGCACCTCTACCTGGAAAAAGCGAACGCTCCGAGCGGGCCCCAAACATACCCAGAGGTGGGTCCCACCCATTTTGGTTCTACCACGGTGTGTTATAAACTTTACCGACAGGTAGAAGTACAGTGGAACCATCCGACCAACTTGCCAACCATGCTTGGAAAGAAACCCAAAGCAAAACCTCTCTCTCTCCATTCGGGGGTGCTCAAATCCCCATGGCACTACCCTTTTCAGGTTGATGCCGTCGGGTCCCAGCATCGATTCGGGGCGATTCGACTCGGCTCCGGGCCGGCTCCGTCCAGCGCTGGGCACGCCAGGGGGTTTGGGCGACCTCCAGGCTCATCTCTTCTGCCTCGGAGTGCTATATATTCCGGGGCGTCCCACGACCCAAAACATCCAAAGGAAGTTAAATGCCACTCATCAGTCTGAAACCTTGAGAGAGTTAATCTGGGCGGCCACCCAAAACGGGATCTGCAAAGCCTTGCGTGCCTTCACTCGCCCGGCCCAGCCATCCAACTCCCTTGAAATTGCCCATTCGACTCGTTCTGGATTCTGGTGCTTGCAGAAGCCTCAGAACGATCCAACCCACCAACCAACGCCACCAGCTGACCACATCTTCATGCCCAGTTACTAGCAGTCTCATGAGCTCATCCAGCGGCGCAAAAATCCGCAGGGACGAAACCTGGTCATACCTCGGACCGTCAAAGGAGCAGTGTCTGCCGGGAATGGAGCCCTTGTCAATGGACCCCTTAATCCCCTTGACTCACAAGTTCACACACGCAAGTTGTTCAGCCTGTGGCTCCCTGTTGAGGCGGCCCGGCCTGGCTGGTTCAACCAATCTTGCCACACGCTTCATCCAGCCTGCAATTTGCTGGTTAGGTTCCACTGAAACCAACCACTTCTGGAGGTCCCAAAGATGAAAAACTTCAGGACCCCTCGCCGACCAACCGTAGATCTTACTATAAAGGTTCATACACGTCTCACCCTAACCCCTGCCCCCAATAAACCAGTTAGAACCGCCTACTGAACCAGGCTGTCCCGCAAACATCAGCCCTGAAAACTCCATTGAGCTTGAGTTTCAAGTTTCTTCACATTGTGCTTCAAATCGTCCAAATTGGGAATACGGGGACCCCTGTCAACTGGCCCCTCCGGGTTGCTGGGTCGTTTCTCTTCAAGGCGCTGGGTCTGCTGCAGCGCGCAGATCACGGTGCCCAGGGCGGCAGCTTTCGGCTGCCGCTGCGCGCGCTGTGCCGGTGCCAGCGCCATCCGGTCCGAATTCATGCCCACCTCAGCGCGCCCTCCGGATCCGGAAAAACAAAAACGTCGCACTTGTTGTTTGTCCCCAACAGCTGAAAGCTTTGGGGTCTCAGCCGCGGCCCCGAGGTAAGGTTCCACCAGGGTTCCAACAGGGTTCCACTAGACCAGGGTTCCAGGTTCTGCGAGGGCTGCGGGGTGGTCCGGGTGGTTTGAGGTAAGGTTCCACAAGGTTCCACAAGGTTCCACCAGGGTTCCACCAGGGCTTCACCAGAGTTCCACCAGCGGCGTGGTCCGGGGTTGAGGTAAAGGTTCCACCAGGTCCGCAAGGTTTTATCAGGGTTCCACCAGGGTTAACCCACCAGCTTCTGCAAGCGCATAATAGACAAAGTCATCGCAGACCTTTTTGCAGCTCTGTAAAAAAAAGCTGGAGAACCGTTTCTGTGTGCCTGCAGGGTGAAATGACTGGAAATGAGAAACATGCCAGCGGACTGCGGGGTGGTCCGGGATGGTTTGAGGGGTTCCACGGGTAAGGTTCCATGAAGGTTCTGAAAGGTAAGGTTGCATGAAGGTTTCACCAGGGTGTTAAAAGGTTCGACGAGGTTCTGCGAGGGATGCGGGATGGTCCGGGGCGGCTATGAGGTTTGACAGGGTTGCACAGAGTTCTGCAAGGATTCTACAAGGGTTCCAGAAATGTTCTGCAAGGCCTGGAGAGAAGCAGTGTGTCGCGCGCCCGCCGTCTGAAAAGCCATCGGAGCAGAAAATTGAGGGCTCCTGGGCGGAACACTAAGCAAAACCGAAATCAATGCTTTTCAGCACACTTTCACTGTTTTGTCACTTGCTCACTTGCTCAGGCAACGCGGCCCGAAATGTTGGCTTTCTGGCAAATCAGATCACGTTGCTGCAGGACTCACTGTGCAGCAGAGTAAATGCTTGGCATTGCTGAGTATTATAATGGTCGGCTTTAGGTTCCAAGAATTCCACTAGGCTGCAAGGGCTATGGGGTAAGGTTCCAAAAACGCTCCACGAGGTTTGCACAGGTTCTGCAACGGCTATGGGGCAGCCCTGAGGCAAGGTTCCAACAACAACGTTTCACGCTGAGTTCCACGAGGGCTCCACGAGGATGATTTGCGAGGTTCACCGGGCCCAGATCGAGTGCACCGTCGGGGCCCAATTGCACCGTCGGGGCCCGATTGCACCGTCGGGGCCCGATTGCACCGTCGGGGCCCGATCGGCCCCGCTTGCGCCATCGCGCCCTGATCGCACCCCCAACTGAGTCAGGCCCCGTCAACTGTACCAAGCTGGCTTTTGCTAGAAACAGTTGTAAGGCCGCATCCTAAACCCGCGTTGAGCTATGAATTGGTGGCTGGGGTTGCATTACGGGACCATCGGGCTCCGGGCCCCAATTGCACCGTCGAGCCCCGATCGCGGGCCCCGCGACTGCACCATCGGATCCGACGATTAGGCCCCGATTGCACCGTCGGGCCCGATAATGCCCCGATTGCATGTTGGGCCGCGACTGCACCATCGGGCCCCGATCGGGCCTGCGCCGTCGGGCCCCATCCGACGATTTGCACCGTCGGGTTCCGACCCCGATTATGACTGCAGCGTGGGGCCGCGATTGGGTTGCGATTGCACCGTCAGGCCCCCCGATTGCACTCGGGCCCCGATCGGGCCCCTTGAGCCCCCGTAGCACCGTCGGGCCCGCTCGGGCCCCTTAATTGCACCATCGGGCCCCGATCGGGCTCGGGCCCCGACCGCGGCCCGATTGCACCGTCGAGCCCCGATCGGGCCCCGATTGCACTGTCGGGCGCCCCGATCGGGCCCCGATTGCGCCGTCGGGCCCCGATCGGGCCCCGATTGCGCCGTCGGGCCCCGATCAGCTTTGCCTTATAAAGTTACAAGGTGGCATCCTCAGCAACACCGGCGGTGAGGTGGGTGTCGGGGCGTTCCGCGAGGATTCTGGGAGGGTGTGGTGCTGTTGGGGATATCGCCTGATCTTATTTTTTCATTTGCTTTATTCTTTTGGGGGGGACTGGCTGCCTTTAAGAGGGTCGGCAAGATGCGAATCGCCAGTTTCTGGCCGTACCCTCCCCTGCCCATTCTCTTCAAGGATTTGTGGTTCTACCAAAAAATGCCAATAAACAAAGAGAACGATGGGTGAAGAGAACCCTTAGACAGGCCCAAAACGTGGACGTGGGTGTGCCAGGCTGCCATTGAGGTGCCCAATGCCAGGCACAGATCTGCCTTCTCCTCCCACTCCTGGATGGGCTCACGGAGTCTACGCAGCTAGGTTCCATGGCAGGGCGGCCAGAAAGAAAAAGGGAAACACGGGCCAGCAAAAGCAAGTTGCTGTCGCGGCCGTCAGGCCGTTTAGTGCAAACCACCACCTTTCACCTCTGGCTAGAGCTGCTGAATAGTGGAACCGCTGGCCCCTTTCAGGAATCAGCCTTGCGCGCTCTTCCAAATCCCAAGACCAACAAAAGAAAACGACTTTCGCGTCAACCATCGGATATTCCTTCATCATTGGCAGAGCACTCAGCTTGCCGCTCACCTGTGCTGACGTAGGCTTTGTTGGGACCAACCCTACCCCAGTCCAGCATCCACTCGATGAGGTCACCCCGCAGGGTGCCATCCATGGGCACAACCTAAGCGCAAGCCCACAAAAACCCTTAAGAACCCTTCCTAGGAGCTGGTGTTAAAGAGTATTTGGGCAGGGCCCAACCTCACTTAAAAGCGGGTGCCAGAAAATCAGGAACCTGGGTGGAGAAACCCCTCAAAAAATATCAAAACCTCTCAAAACCAGGAAGCTGGGTTGGAAGGATCCCACCAGGCCCCGTGGATCTCGTTGATGTGCTTCTGGGGGTACCCCGCTTTCTGCGGCAGGCCGTCGTGATTCTGCTGCACCCAGTGCTTCAGGTAGCCTACACGAGGCAGCTTTCATGTTCCACAAAGGGGTGAATGGAGCTCGAAAGCGCGACGCTACTCCATGAAAGCCTGAAAGCGACATTCTCAGACTCACCTTCACAAATACGTCGTTGAAAGGGGGGGAAGGGCGGGGGGGCTCCCCCCGCTTTTTCCGTCCATGTTGAGAGACATGGCTCCCCCCGTCATGCCGAACGCCAAAAGCCAACCCCATGCCCACATCCGAATCTCCCGCTCGCCCGGCGCCTGTGCTGTGCAGCGCCACCAAGGTGTGGTGCGCCAAGGTGGGCGCGGCGCACCAGGGCGACTTTGAGGCGGCGGAGGCCACCGACCCGCTGGCCTCGACAAAACTCCGGCGCGGGGAGGGAGGTCTCCTTGCCACGTTTCTCGTGGGAGAAAAGGAGGAGGAAAAAAAAGGCAGGGTCCAGAATCCCATTTTGAGAAACACCAAGTTGGCATTCGAATGGAATTTGTTGGACCCCAGAATGGAAAAGATTCTCCTTCGAACACCCCTTTACCTGAGAGTTTGTAGTGACCCGAATCCAGCAATATAGCAAGTTTGTCACCCTGGATGCCACTATTGCAGAAAAAGGATGGGGCGTCCAAAAGCTTAAGTGAAGAGTCATGTTGCATGAAGTCATGTTTCTCAAATCGGGTCACCCCCGTGCCCAATTAGGATTAACTGCGTCCCTGCAAAAGTGCTTGGCATTTCGTGTCCAAAGCAGCCATGCGACAAAACCGCCACTGAGGTAGGCTCACCAGGCACAGTGCCCCCTTCAACAACCACCATGGCAAAAAAGTTAACATCTGCGGGGCCAAGATCGAAGAAGAAAGAGCCCCATGCCAAACATCGAGCAAACCCTTTCGTGACACAAAGCCGAAACCCTGAAGGAGTCCGACTTGCCTTCGTGGCATAGTCTCGAATCCCCGAAGCGGTGCTGATACCTGGGCAGGCCACAGTCTGGAGAAATCAGAGTCCAACACCCTCAAAGCTATCTGAAGGATTCACCGACAAAAAAAATTGAACCCCTCAAATGTTCACTTTGCGGGCCGCTCCGTTTTTCTCCATCGCCCGGGGTCTGGCTCTCTCTGCCGGGCTGGCCACTCGCCTGCAAATAAAATGCCTGCAAACTGGGCAGTCCCATTTGGTTCTGCCATGGTCACATACATTGACTCCCCCACACGGAACACACACCTGATGGCGTATGTTGTGCTGGCAAAAGTCGATGCTGGTCGGGCTGTCACGCACGCCTGCCGACCCATCCAGCGCACGGAAACGGGCAAGCCGATTTGTGCGGCGACATAGCGCGTGACCATTGCCAGGCATAAGGATTGCACATTTATGCGTCGTCGGATGGCAGAAATACCAAGCAGAGGACAGCAAGTAAGGACAGTCGCTGCACTTGAGCAGCTTGGGGGCCTCCGGCCGCTGAACGATGGTCCTGAACGATCGTACCCTCTTGTTCGGGGAGTATGTGTCTGTGATGACTGCACAGTCTGATCTTGCCTTCTTTCGCTTCTGCGGCTGTGGCTGGACATCTGGCTGCCCATCATCTGCTGCTTTGTCTGCGGTCAAGGATTTCAACTTCGCCCATGTCTCACCAGAAGACGCTTCAGAGACATCACCATGCCTCTCCTCAAACTGCTGAATAAGCAGTTTGACACGAGCTATGCTGGGATGGATTCCACAGTCCAGCTGCAATGCGTGGCACAGCTCCAAGCACTTCACCAAAATGTCTCTAATGCTTTTCTGCGCTACAGTGGCTGTCGTTGCCTTATCCTGGGAGCCGTCGATTTGGCTTCCCGATGCCTGTGCCAAAGCCCGTGGTGCAGACAACGCTGCCACTGTCTGCTGCAGGATGTCCAAGAGCTGCTCTTTGCGCGCCTCAGGCTCCCCAGACAAGATCTCCAAAAGTCGGTGCCTCAGCTCGGCCGCGTGCGCCCGCTGCTTCGGCACGGGCATTGCTTGCCACCGGGCCATGCAGCGATGAAGCGCTCGCGCGCGCAGTGCTTGCAGCGCCTGAAGCAACTCTACCTCTGTGCCGCATCCCTCGATGTCAGCGCCAAGCCGTCGCTCGACAGCCTGCAGGCACCACTGCAACCGAGGCGTCACCTGTGGCAGGCGGCGCAGCATCTTTACAAGCAGCGACACGGGCGACGCAGGCGAACCAGGGGAGACTTGGACACCCAGGGCGAGCCAGGCGCTGACGTGGCAGGCGTGACGCGACAACTCAGATGTCGTGGAGGAGCGTGCGGATATCATGTACCGTGCCAGCACCTGAGAAAATCAAACAGAGGGCAAGATGTGGGGAATTACGGGGTTGTTTGGTCAGGGCTTCCTTTGGAAAAGTCATCGTTTGATTATCCTGCCTTGTTCTGGTTGCTTTCCGAAACCTTTCAGCATGGTAGCTCAAGGAACGCTCAAAGCGTGTTTGTGCTCCCTCATGGATGGAGTCGTCACTTGCCGGCATTGGGCACCACAAACAACGTCATGTGATCGCCGCTCACAGCGGCAAATGGCGGGGATGTACGGTTGTTGTGTTCCCTCTCTGGGCCAACATCACTAAAAATAGAAATTCGACCTCAAAAGTTACTTTCTTGCCCATACTAGTCTCCCGACTATTCTGGCCGGTTTCTCTGTTTCTGTCCAATAGCTGAAAGTGCAAGATATGTCTCTGCATGCCCTTGCTTGCGCACGCGTGCTGAAATTGCTGCGGCTGGCAATGCACCAAGCAAAGTCAAGGCACATTCCGCAGGACATGCCCTTGTCAACCGCTGCCCAACCCAAGCCGAGTGAACCAGCACCGCTATGCCAGGGCACCTGCGCCAGTGTAGGCCACGCAATGCTGGCTGCGTCTGATAAGATCTGCCAGCAGCTTCCTTACGCACCCGAGCATGGCCGGAACGCCTCTGACACTCCAAATAAACACGGAACCCGGAAACCATACACACCACACACACCACACACACACACACACATTCTTGCAAGAATCTCCTTTCGGGGGCCTCTTTATTTGCAGGTCAGAACCTGCCCTGGGCCCAGGAGCCCCCTTACTCGCGCCCCATGTCTCTGGCCCTGCGGGCCGGACTCTCAAAATGCGAAGTGAGACATATCAAAACATAAGGGTTCCTGACACCTACTCAAGGGGATCCTCCAAGGTAAAGCTGATGTTTAAGCTGGCCAAATGTATCCACAGGCAAGGCGCACCTTTGCCCGAAGGACTTCCGGCTGGTCCATGTACTCGTGAGCCTTCATGGTCTTGTACCCTGGCCTCGCATCCTGCGCTCGCATCCATCAACCGTCAGGTTCAAGGTTCTCTCTCCGTTCCTCACCAGTCCGTGCTGATTGCCCCCTCCCCCTCCCCCTCCCTCTCCCTCTCCCTCTCTCTCTCCCGCTCTCTCTCTCTCTCTCTCTCTCTCTCTCTCTCTCTCTCTCTCTCCCTCGTCAGAAACCCATACAAGTTGCTTATTTTTCCTTTGCCTTAGCATCCGTGTGAGCCATGTCCGCCACATTGCGGAGGCGTGTCGGATACCCAAGAGAGGATAGAGGATAACCCCCCCGTAACCCCCCGTACGTTCTACACTGCCGGACAGTGTAACAGTTAACTTGCGCATGCAAAGTGAGTGATTGAATGACTCAACGAACTAATGAATCAATGAATGAATGAATGAATGAATGAATGAATGAATGAATGAATGAATGAATGAATGAATGAATGAATGAATGAATGAATGAATGAATGAATGAATGAAATGGAATGGAATGGAATGGAATGGAATGGAATGGAATGGAATGGAATGGAATGGAATGGACTGGACTGGACTGGAATGGAATGGAATGGAACGGAATAATTAATGAATGAATGAATGAATGAATGAATGAATGAATGAATGAATGAATGAATGAATGAATGAATGAATGAATGAAAGAGTGAAAGAATGAAAGAATGAAAGAATGAAAGAATGAAAGAATGAAAGAATGAAAGAATGAAAGAAAGAAATGAATGAATGAATGAACGAATGAATGAATGAATGAATGAATGAAGGAAGGAAGGAAGGAATGAATGAATGAATGACTGAAAGAATGAAAGAATGAAAGAATGAAAGAATGAAATAAATGCATGAATGAATGAATGAATGAATGAAAGAATGAAAGAATGAAAGAATGAAAGAATGAAAGAATGAACGAATGAAAGAATGGATGAATGGATGAATGAATGAATGAATGAATGAATGAAATGAATGGAATGGAATGGAATGGAATGGAATGGAATGGAATGGAATGGAATGGAATGGAATGGAATGGAATGGAATGGAATGGAATAATGAATGAGTGAATGAATGAATGAAAGAATGAATGAATGAATGAACGAATGAATGAATGAAAGAATGAATGAATGAAAGAATGAAAGAATGGATGAATGAATGAAATGAAATGAAAATGGAATGAAATGAATTGAAATGAAACGAAATGAGATGAAATGAAATGAAATGAAACGAAATGAAATGAAATGAAATGAAATGAAAATGAAATGAAATGAAAATGAAATGAAATGAAATGAAATGAAATAACTGAAATGCAATGAAATGAAATGAAATGGAATGGAATGAAATGAAATGAAAATGAATGAATGAATGAATGAATGAATGAATGAATGAATGAATGAATGAATGAACGAATGAATGAATGAATGAACGGATGAAATTCAATGAAATGAAATGAATGAGTGACTGAATCAATGAATGAATGGAATGGAATGGAATGGAACGGAATGCAATGAAATGAATGAAATGAATGAAATGAATAGAATGAATAGAATGAATGAAATGAATGAAATGAAATTAAATTAAATTAGATAAATCAATAAATAAGTACATAAATGAATAAATGAATGAATGAATGAATGAATGAAAGAATGAAAGAATGAAAGAATGAAAGAATGAAAGAATGAAAGAATGAAAGAATGGATGAATGGATGAATGAATGAATGAATGAATGAATGAATGAAATGAATGGAATGGAATGGAATGGAATGGAATGGAATGGAATGGAATGGAATGGAATGGAATGGAATGGAATGGAATGGAATAATGAATGAATGAATGAATGAATGAATGAATGAAAGAAGGAAGGAATGAATGAAATGAATGAATGAAAGAATGAAATGAAATGAAATGAAATGAAATGAAATGAAATGAAATGAAAATGAAAATGAAAATGAAAATGAAAATGAAAATGAAATGAAATGAAATGAAATGAAATGAAATGAAATGAAATGAAATGAAATGACATGAAATGAAATGAAATAACTGAAATGCAATGAAACGAAATGGAATGAAATGAAATGAAATGAAAATGAATGAATGAATGAATGAATGAATGAACGAATGAATGAATGAATGAATGAATGAAATTCAATGAAATGAAATGAATGAGTGACTGAATCAATGAATGAATGGAATGGAATGGAATGGAATGGAACGGAATGCAATGAAATGAATGAAATGAATGAAATGAATAGAATGAATAGAATGAATGAAATGAATGAAATGAAATTAAATTAAATTAGATAAATACATAAATAAATAAGTAAATAAATAAATAAATAAATGAATGAATGAATGAATGAATGAATGAAAGAATGAATGAATGAAATGAATGAATGCAATGGAATGGAATGGAATGGAATGGAATGGAAAGGAATGGAATGGAATGGAATGGAAAGGAATGGAATGGAATGGAACGGAATGGAATGGAATGGCATAATTAATTAATGAATGAATGAATGAATGAAAGTGTGTCGCAACGGAATCAGGCGTACAAAAAGTACGAACAGTACGGAGACTACAACCGGACTTCAAATACGACCTCGTACTGCTGAACAAAGTTTCCGGCACACCATGGGCACCACGACGGAACACCTACAACCCATCGTTCGCAACACTGTTGGATACGCAACTACAACCGTCAGAGAAAAGAAGGTCCACGCAAGATTTCGGACAACAGACGAACGCTACGGACGACATCGTTGCGGAACCCGCAACAAAACAACAACGCACTACACCACCTCCACGACTTCCGTCTACATCGACGTCAAGTTCACGACCACTACCGGATAGTCCTATGGCTACTTCACCAGCCGGACGACAACATCCACCACTGCAAGCACCACCTCGACAAACACTAGGACGTTTAACTCCGGAAGAAGTAATGCAACCAACTAAAGCACAGAAGACCTCGAAAGACACTACAATCAGATCAACGGAGCAAGCGACCAAAGAACCACCACCACTACGACAGAAAATCAACGCCGTGACACTTCCCAACGGAAAATCCATCACTCCCTACACAAACGACGACACCTCAGAAGACCAACCCATAATCTTCGACAACGAAGGTTACGACGCAACACAACTACTGGAAGGAACGAAACACGAGTCAAACCAAATGAAGCTACATGACGTCTACGACGAAGTAGATGCGTCTACCGTCGACGACAACGTCATCAGAGAAGCGACACCTACAAGATGGGTACATAGAAAGAAAGGACCAGGAGTACGAAGCCGAATCGTCGCAAAAGGCTACACAGAGAAGATCGAGGACGAAGACTCCGTCTACGCCTCTACACCAATGTTCACGACACTCCGGACGCTTCTCGCACTACAAATGTCACGACCAAACTGGATCGCGCGACTAGGTGACGTCTCTGCAGCATTTCTACACGCACCCATCGCAAAAGACCACGACGATAAACAACGTGACGTCTACCTTTGGCCACCTAAAGAACTTTGTCCACAACAGGACAAAATCTGGCGACTAAAGAAAGCCATGTATGGACTACGCAGTTCACGAAAAGCATGACAGGACTACCTGGCTGAAGTGTTACAAAAGCTCAGCTTTGTAAGGCTAAAGTCAGAACCTAACGTCTACACCAATGCGACCAGCGACTGCTACATCATGGTCTACGTGGACGATCTACTAGTACTTGGAGAAGCAGGTCCTACTCATTCTTGGAAGAAACATCGACCACTTCGGCAACTACTGCAACCTTGGACTAAAGGACTCCTACATCGACAACATGATCGAGGAGTCTGGAATGACCAACTGCAACACTGTGACCACTCCAGGAATCGCCCACTACAAACCAACAATAGAAGATGAAGCACTTCTTGACCACGAACAACACAAAAGGTGCAGAAGGATTGTTGGTAAACTTCAATGGTTGGCATACACACGACCAGACATTGCATACTCCACAAAAGAACTAGCACGAGACCTCACAGCACCTACAGAACTTTCACAAAAGAGAGTCAAACATTTACTACGCTACTTGCACGGCACCAAGCACTACAAATTCACCATAGAACCAACAACAACACTCAGAGCAAACACCAACAACATCCTGGATCTCGACGTTCATGTCGATGCCGACTGGGCAGGATGCCCTACTACCAGGAAATCAACTTCAAGTTACAATAGCACTCAGCTCAGCAGAGTCTGAACTCTACGCCATTTGCACAGGAGTTAATGAGGGACTACACCTCAGAAACTTCCTACTTGAAACCAACATTTGCAGCAAGCTAAACCTACGCATCCACACAGACTCCACAGCAGGCAAGAGCATTGCTACACGACAAGGCACTAGCAAACGAGCAAAACATCGACCTCAAATTCCTCTACACACAAGACCTCATCAAGCATGACATCATTAGAATCCTTAAGATCAACACACTCCAGCGCAGATTTGTTTACCAAATACATCAGCAAAGAAACACTACACAGGCTCATCCAGAGCATTGGCACTTCAACCATTCTACCCCTGGCAACACGGTCTACTACAACCCGACCACAGTGATGGACCAACTACACATCACTGAGCACCAAACAACCACTACACCACCATTGCCCGACAACACACCCTACACTCAGTTTTTCACTGCACTCACACTTGAAGAGTATCAACTACTCTCACAACAACAAGCAACTCCACTGGCACAACTGGACTTCACGCGACCCATTCACTGCATCCCTGGAGGTCTTCGGATGCCCCACTACAACTCTACACTGCTCAGCGTTTCACTACCTGAAGCAGCCAACGTCCACTACGACCACACGACTTCAACCAGCGACAACACCAACTACATCATCATCCAACTCCAGATTGAACAACCACTACTCCTGGGGTACCTCACTTCAGGACAATTTTTACACTTCACAAGGGACTACATCTCCTACATGTTCATACAGCAGAACTACTACCTCCCGACTACACCAATTCCACAGACCATCTACAAGGTGAACTACAACATGACCACCTTCACTGACAACTACAGCCTCAGGAACAACTACCTTTGGAACTACCACATGCCCCTACTACTACCTGAACTACTCCACTACCCACTACCTTTACAACAGAGACCAACTACACGACTTCCAGCACAAGGCAATTACTACCATCCCCTGCAAGAGTATACAGTACTACGGATTCACACTACTCACCATGACAAACCTCACTCAACATCACAAAGCACTACTACACCGCTTTCTCAGGGAGTACAACCAACACATGTCGTGCCCTGAGATAGACGACGAGCGACTACGGGGAGCCCCAAACTACATGACAACATTTTTCACCATACATTACTACGCGACCTTGGACAACAGGCTCCAGATGGTCCAAGACTATCGCGCCCAGAAATGGGGACTACATCTTTGAGCTCATGCTCCACTACAACGGGTGCCTGCCTCACTACTTCCGTCCAGCGCCCTACATCGAGCTGGAACCTGAACAGCGTGAACTTCTGAGCGCAGGTCACTACTTTTGCCAATACAGTAGAATTGATGAACAACCATGGTTTTCATCACTACTGTCAATCCATGTGTTGCACTTCAGTTGAAAAGGTACTACAAAGACCTTTTAACTGAGGGGCCGTGTCAAACTACATGCTTCACTTTGCACCTGTGTAGCATGTATGTTCACTACCGCAGGCCTTGAGCTTACTACTCCGCATGAGTGAAAAGGTTGGCAGCTGCAGACTACATTGGTTGACTGTTTGTTTGAACACTACAGCACTTGCACTTGTAAGCAAAGTACCAACTAAATTTAACGAGGGAGAGAGAGAGAGAGAGAGAGAGAGAGAGCGAGAAAGAGAGAGAGCAGAGACAGAGCCAGAGCCAGAGCCAGAGCCAGAGCCAGAGCCAGAGACAGAGACAGAGACAGAGACAGACAGAAAGAGAGAGAGAGAGAGAGAGACAGACAGACAGAGAGAGAGAGAGAGGACAGAGAGCAAGAGCGAGAAAGAGAGAGAGAGAGAGAGATGGAGAGAGACAGAGAGAACGAGGGAGATTGAGGAGAGAGAGGCTTCGGGGGATGGGGAGGATGGGGAGCAGAGGAAGGGAGACAGGACGACAGAACAGACGGGGGAGGAAACAAGAGAGAGAGAGGAAGAAGGAGAAAAGGGAGAGGACAATGTCGGCGGACTGAGCCGGAGGCTCTAAAGTTCAGAATGTGATTCCCCTATGCGTGGGACATCAGAGCAGATATTTTGACCGAACCTCACGTGCCAAAATTAAACTGCGCAGCCGGGACCCGGGGCCTCGGAGCAGGCACGCACCAGACTTGGCATGGGCCAGGAGGGGTCTCCCAGGAAGCCATGAGCTACCTGGACGCAAGCCGGGCTTCGTCTATTACCGGCACTGGCCCCTTTTTTCTGAAACCCTCGAAAGGGACCAAACATCGCAAGTTGATGCCGAGCGCCCTTGGGAACATTATCCTGGCACTGGATGTTTGACGCTGGCGTAGGCCATTGAACCAACCCCATGCCTAGCTTCGCCCCGAAGAACGCGCCATGGCCCCCAACACCCCGCGGTCGAAGAATACCCGCCTGCAAATTTGCATGGGCCCCAAAAGGCAACTGCTTCAAAAACAGATTTGTTTTTGGGTTCAAACAAGGCCATCCCGATACATCGCACCCAACGCCCGGAGGCCTTTGCATTGGTCGCCGGCATGGGGGACCCCGGCGCCGGCTCCGGGGTAGTGTCCACCGGCTCCCCAAACTTCAGGCGCTGCATCTGCGCCACTATTGGCTGCAAAACCTCCCGGGCTAGCGGCTGGGGCCTTCACCTTTCGGAAAGAAGGTTTTCGTACCCCGTTGATGAGCTTGGTTGCACCCTTTCGGAACTGTCTGGCAGAAAGTTGAAGTAAGTCAAGTGCGAAGCTTCGGGAGGAAGTTGGTAACAGCTTGAACGATGCAAGCATCAACCCTGGGGCGCTCATCCCGACAATAACATGCTTCATTTGCGTCATCGTCATCCAAAGGGTCTTTGACCAGATCAGGCTTTGGTGAAACTCACAGGGACTTTGGGGAATCAGCGCACCAACGAGGAGCTGCAAAGCATTATTCCTCCAGAATCGCTTATCCAGCCATGTAAGCAGCAGGAGCTACAGTGGCCATGTAAAATTGCAGGCCTAACAAAAACCCAACAAAATATGCAGCTTCTGCTCCTTTGGCTTCTTTACCGGCCTCTTAAGGAAGCCTCGCTCATCCGAAGGGCCGGGCCCCTACGTTGGAAGTCCCCAGCCCCATTGACGCCTCGTGCTGCACGTACGACTCACATTCGTAACACCAAACGCTGAGGTCCATCAAGCCGATGCAGAGGCAGTGGCCTCAGCGCAGTGGCTCTGGGATCGTGCTATCATATCCTATCATATCATATGATATAATTAGTGGTTTATGTTATGTTGCATTAAATCATCATTTGGCCTTTTTGTATAGTATGTAATGTCATGCTGTACACGAAATGTCTGTGTGTGTTTTGGCGTTTGTTGAAGGGCCTTTTGTGTTGCCGTTATTATTTCAATGAGAAACCAAGGCAAAAGCACCAACTTTGGAGACTCCCCGATTTAGAGACTTGAGAAAAGGGCGGAGCAAAAGTTTCCTTCCAAAGCGCTAAGTACACAATGTTGGGCGCTGGCATGGTAGAAACATTCAAAGTCCCAAGTCTTGCTGGTTGTCCTTGCTCGAGTTTCACGCCTACGCAGCCCCTGCCTTTCTTACCAGAAGTATGGCTATCGTCAATCAGCCTGTGTTGCACCACTCCTTCCAGCCACATCATGCCCTTCATATTGCACCAATTGAGCCAGCCATCATGTCATTCCTTCCTTTGCCTCCCTGTCTTTCGCATTCCGTATATCACTCCATTGGCCCCGGCGTACCATAACAACTTTTGACAAAAGGATGTGGGGGGGGCCTAGTAAAGAACCTTCATTGCCGCCTTCTGGCCAGTCACTCGTGAGCCCGTGCTACCCAACCAAAACCTGCCTCGAATCATGCCACCAGTCCACCCCATTGGTCCCTCCCCACTCTTGCCCCCGATGGCCTCGGCGTTGGACACCGGCTGCTGCCTCGCCTGGCCCAGGTGTCTAAGCTGGTGCCTTGACGTTTTCTTCACCCACGCAAACATGGAAGATCAGCCCCAATTCTGGGTCCCGATCGCTAGTAACCTGTAACACCGTAATGCTACCGAAGCTTGTTCTCAAAGAAGCCGCTCAAGTCGCATCACGCAGTCTGACCATTCCCAAACTGGCTTTCTAGGGAAACCCCCGGTCTAGGGCAAGAAATTATGTGTTTGCCAACCTGGTTATCTCCCACAGGCCTCGCCTACTGTCAGGCTCTTCTCTTGCTCAGCCTTCGTCTGCTGCCAGTGCTGCAGTGCCTCAAATCGACAAATCCGCCAGGCCTTCAACAAGCAAACGCGCAAGCACACAAATAGAAGGAAGAAAGACAGAAGGAAGGTAGGAAAGGAAGGAAAGGAAAGGAAAGGGAAGGGAAGGGAAGGGAAGGGAAAGGAAAGGAAAGCAAGAAAGAAAGAAAGAAAGAAAGCAGGAAGGATAGAAGGACAAAAGGACACTCAGAAGGACAGAAGCGCAAACAGACGGAAAAAAAGACAGACAGGCAGGCAGGCAGGCAAACAGACAGGCAGGCAGGCAAGCAGACAGACAGGCAGGCAGGCAGACAGACAGGCAGACAGGCAGACAGGCAGGCAGAGGCAGAGGCAGAGTCAGAGGCAGAGGCAGAGCAGAGCAGAGGAGAGGAGAGGCAGGGAGGCAGGCAGGCAAGCAGGCAGGCAGGCAGGCAAACACGCACAAATGGAGACAGAGGCCGCCAGACACAGACTCAAACACAGACAGACAGAGGCAGTGACAGACACAGACACAGACACAAAAAACATAGACAGACACACAGGCAGGCAAACACAGACAGACAGAGACAGGCAACAGAGACAGACAGACAGACGCAGACAGAGAGAGAACGAGAAAGTAGAGAGCGGAAGGGACAGAGACAAAGACACAGAGACACAGAGACGGGCAAACAGGCAGACAGACAGACAGACAGACAAACACCAAGGCACCTATCAAGGAAAAACATCTGCAAGTCAGTTACGCGCATTCCACTCTACCCCACTGACTTAAAGCCACAAGGGGGGCCATAGGAAGTCTCCTCGTCCTTCATCAGAGTTCCAATAGGATACATCCCAAAACTACTTGCTTTACAAGGGAATCCTCGTCAATTTTACTTTTGGACTGGTGTCCCTTTCTTGCCTTAATGGCTCCCCGGGTTCGCAGTATGCCGCCCTGGGGCGTGTCGGTGCATATAGCGCCCACAGTTCGTCTCGCCGCACATGAGGCAGACCCAGTTCTCCGTGCCCTTGCACCCGGCTTGGCAAGGCTTGCCAAAGGTCAGGCTTTCCTGGCCGTCAGATTGGTGTTGAAATAGGGACTCGAACCCCGGTTTGGACTCCGCCGATTTGTTTTTGCCTTCCTAAGACTAGCCTCCAACAAACTCAGACCTTGAGGCATCCCTTCAACCTCTTCAACCCTCGCTACATGCGAGCGGTCGCCAATCGATCGCCTTGCGGAGCAACTGCCCCGGCTCGAATTCTGCGATGTGAGGGCAATGCTTGAACTGCACCGCGCCACCCTTGTCCTCCTCACCTGTGGGCCAACTTACGGCCGTTGGGTTCTCTTTAAGGATCACGAAATTGATAGCCAAAAGGTGATGCGTTAAATCAAATAACCCCATCATACACATCACAAAAGAGGGAAATGTAGGGAACCCTCTTGGGGCCGTGAGCTCTGCTTGCCACCTTCTGCTACCCCCTCCCCCCCCCCCCCCGCTGTCCAAGTTGGCCCCATTATTGTGTCATGTTTCATGAAAGTCACCCCAAGTGGTAGGGGAACTTTCTGACTTTGAGAACTCCCCCCCTCCCCCAAAAAAATACTGTCAAACTGCCCGTCCAAGTGGCCGTGATCCAGCAGCCAGTTGATGGCCAGCTGCGTGTCTGTGACATCCCCGATGTTGGACAGCGCTTCCCGCGCGCGAGCCTCCGAGAAGCCAAAGTTCACCAGTTCGGTCAGGGCCTGCTGCATCCCAACGCGAGGAAAGGATTCAGGAGGTCAAATGGCCAAGGAGCCAAGAGAGGGCTGCGAGGTGCGGGCCAAAAAGAAATGATCAGACTTCTCTCAACAATCCGACCTGCTGGAATCAAGAATGACACATCTTGGCGACATGGACAGGGAGACATAGAGACAAGCAATTGCTCACCCTGATACCGGAGGTCGGCCGAATGCGAGCCGCATTTTGGAAACCTGATTGCAACCAGCCTGTGACCGAGGGATCGAGGATCCCAATGAATTCAGGATCACGAGCGCGTGAGCGCGTTGTCCAGGCAAAACCTTCTTTGACCAAACTGCGAACACACGTCCAGTTTGGGTAGATGTGTTTGTCTTCTCCAAGGAGTGTTTGGGGGACCCGGTCCACCTTTTTGGTCCACGTTCCTCCAGGTCTGGACCTCGCGCTCGAGGCTTCAGTGCAAAATACGGAAAGCGCGCTCGGCCCGCCGTTGCGTTTGTGGCGCTGATTTACGTCACATGGGCTCCACGCTTGTCTGCCTAAAACACTTGGAGCTGAAACTCAAAGCCCCGGGAGATGATGAACACATGATAGCAAAATCACAAAGCAAACAATAGAAAACATGAATGGGAAACAATTATCTAGAATGGGGCAGGATCTCGGAAACGGCCAGAGCATTGCTGAGACTTTGCACTTGGGTTTCAAAAGGCCCTTGAATGGATCAGACCTAAGTGGAAAGCAAGGCTCCAAGCCGACACAAAAGAAGAACAAAGTAACTTTGCTGCGCAGCCTGCAGGAGGGCAGTCGGGAATAGGCAAAGAAATGCGGCGGCGAGTCCAATGACGCTTTCCGTCCAGAAGTCGAAGGGTAGCCCCTCTACCAAGCGCAGCACACAGCACGCTAGCAGTGCACGTTGCGTGAATTCCTGTATGGCTGGAACCACCACCTTGGGCGATCAGGCAAAATGGCTGCAACAGCCACTGTACAACCTGATGATGAAGTCCCAGATGTTTTCTGCCTTGTCTCTTTGGCACCCGATTGCGCAGAACCAGGGTCTACCTCGGGCCCTTCCAGGGGCATATCTTGGACATGGAAGCCAGAGGCGGCTGTTCAAGCCTGGAGCTTCATGACGAAGATGTCCTCCCCGCCGTGGAAAGTGCTGTTGTCCAAGGCTCCTCGCACCATTGGCCGAGCACTGCTCGCCACTGCAACTGCTAGCAATCCCAATGCATGCTAGAACCCCAAGGAAGCTCTTGGCGGGTGAAGTTTCACCCCAAAAAACCGCCTTCGAATCCTCATTTAAAGCTTAAAGGGGATGGGTATGTCAGGAAGGGCAGTCAATCACTTACCATGGTTGCAAGCCTTCAAGCGGGATAAGGGCACTAACCACTTACCTGACGTACCCTGCCCCTGACCAATCCAAGTCCCCACCTTGGGTGGAGCCCGCCAGCACCAGGTCGCGGCCCTTCAAGTAAACTCCGCGAGCGTGGTCCCACCCAGAAGTGCCCCGCTGGAAGGTCCATATCCAAGTGGGTCCCTCAAAGATCCTGGCATATCTGTCGCATGACTTCGTTGCCGTGGTCTCCATTGTTCTCTGTTGCATCGTTTGTCAGGTTTATATATCTTTAGTGCCCGTCTGTTGTAAGCGTGGCGCTGTTTCTTATCTTTAGTGCGGCCGCCCGTCAGTCGAAACCATACCGACGGGTTGCGGCCCGTTTGTCTGATGTCTGTCCTTGGCTTGTCTCGTGTCTCTTTCGCTCCCACTCAGTAGGTTTGCTCCATCCCTGGCCATCTGCCCTGCCCTGCCCTTGAAGCTTCCATCCATTGGCATTGTCTCCGTCCATTCCTTGCCAGCTGTCCATTCGTGCCTGTGCATCTGCTCCACTGTTCTCAGCTGTCTCCTCTGCACTGGTGTTTTCTGTCCTGTGCGACTTTCGTGTGTCTGTGTGCACGCACTCGTGAAGTATGTTGCTTGAAGTCAGCTATCTTACCTTGTTGGGCGGTGCTTGTGGCTTGTGCTTCGTTCCAGTTGCTTACAGTTGCCGATGGCCCCAGAGTTGCCAGCATTGCTGATAACTGCTTGCTGTTGCGTATTGAATTGTCGTACGGCCTCTTGTTGCTTGTGGCCCCGAGTTCTTGCTGCTGGTCGACACTTGGCGCATCTTGGTGGTTCGCCAGGGTTCAAGATAGTGGTGCATGTTGCCATGTCGCATGGTGGTGCATCATGGTGCATTTGGTCGATTGGCTGCATGTCATTGGCTTGTTTCAGCTGGGTTATTTAGCTGCGCCCGATGTCGGTGCCTCATGGGTGCCCTCTGCGTGTAAGCCAGCTGTTTCTTGAGTTGCGACGCTGTCGGGTGCCGTGTTGTTGTTGGCGGTGATGTCGCTTCACGCTGTTGGGTAGGTTTGAGCTTCAGAAACAACACATACACCAGCTCCGCCTTCCTGCAGGGTCACCCGCCACTCGAATTCGCCTGCTTGCCCATGCACACGCATGCATAACGCATATGACGAAGAACGGTGCGTGTTGTCCAATGATAGCTTCATAAAGAGGGCCTACAACACGATCACTCGCAACTTGAAACCTTTGTTTGCTTCGGGTCATGACGAAGAGGTCGGCGCTGCCGGCATTGGGAAAGCCATCGAGGCTGCCCCCGGTGTACCCTGCCACCATGGTTGGCCCAACTCTGTTCAAGCATGTGGACGCCTCTTAGAACAGTGGACCTCCTTTGGCTTGCATTTATACAAAGGAAAATAACCAAAGTAAAACCCTTGCCATCTTGCTGATTCTTGGAGACACCCATGTCAAAATGTTTGATAGCCCATTCCTTGAGCACTGCCTGCCTTTGGTTCCCCGGTGGCCTTTTGGCCGGATTTTGCGGTGGTTTTTCCCCCGCCTGCCACCACGGCGCGGCCGTGGTCCAAGTCCAGCGCCCAGGCGGCGTCATACTCCGCGCTGCCCCGCTGCACGGTCCAGCGCCAAGCGCCGGAGGGGCTGAGCTGCAGGAGGAAGATGTCCTGTCAGAAGAGGCCCTTGGGATGTGGGTGTTGTGCAGGCTTGAGAAACTAAGGGAATGAAATTTGAAACCAAGGATTTGTTTTGAAGCGTTTAGAACCAGAAGTTGAAAGGCCAAAGATCCCAAAAACAGATGGCTCCTCCGTTCTTGTTGGAGAGAACCCTGTTTGGTCAATACAAAAAGGGCAACCATTTGGCTGTCCATAATCAGCTTCACACTGATCCGGCCCTCCACTTGTTGGTCTCGAATGGGTTGTCAAAATGGGTCGGATCGAAGACTTTGGAACCTGCGAAGGTCTGGACTTGGCCATGGTCACGAAAAGAAACACTTTTTTGGCTGGCCGAAGGGAATTCGAAGGAACCAAAAAGAGCGTGAACCCCCAAAATGGTTGGTTTTCCTTTCTGGCTTTCCCTCAAAACCAACCAAAAGAGGGTTCCCTAAGCACGGAGCAAAAAGGTTAGATAAGTCTGGCAATAGACAGAAGCATGTGAAACAGGCATGCAGACCCTCCCGGTTCCTTGGGAGTTACATTTTGTTCACAGGGCACGAAGCATGCAATCATCAAAGGGGAGAATGGATGCAGAAGCAGCTGCATCCGCTTCAACAGTCTGGTGTGAAAGCAGGAGGCAAGGCGCTCTTTTGCGTGCCGTGAGCACACGCAACAAGATGTCAAAGCTGATGATGACCCGCAAAATGGACACGACGCAAGGATCCCATGCGTTGTCATGCAGGTCAGACACGTGACATCTTTGCTCGAATGCCCCCGCCCCCACAACAGAAAAGAAAGGATGGGCAATCGATTCGATGAGTGTTGCTCGAGTTTGAACTTGAAATTCGAGCAGAATAGCAGGAGGTAAAGGAGGAACAGTTCCAGTCTGAAATGGTTTCCACTACCCAAACCACCACCAGGGCCTTCATGCGATACACAACGACTGCCATATAAAGGGTACCCCCTGCCGGCTGCCAAATTGTAAATGATGGTCGCACATCAATCGGCCCATGCTCGTTTGACCAATTTTCAGCAGCAAAAGTGGTAATATACACGCATACAGCGGATGCCACGCCCAGTCCCCAAAACAAGTGCAAAGGCTCGGAGCTGCCGGCGCTTTTGCAGCCATCCAGCTCGCCACTGGTCTCTCCTGCATCCACTTTTGGTAGGGCATCCGCAAAATGACGCCACCCAAATGGTGGTTTAATCAAGAGTCCCACTCCCAATTGGACTTAATTTTCAGCACCCCTTCAATATGTGTAAACGAGCCCATGTCCTCTCAGCAGGGGCGAAAGAACCCCACATGGCACTCATGTCCTGCTCAACCGCACCCAGTCCTGCCACCCAGGCGTTGCCGAAGCTGTCCAGGCGCAATGCCATGGCTTCCTCGTCTGCCGGACCGCCCCGCTGCACCGTCCATTGCCACGACCCCGAAGCATCGAACTTGGCCAGGAAGAGGTCCTGCCGCATGGGAAGCAACCCTTGTGATACAGCCCAGGGTCCAATGGAGCCAAAGCGAATGTACCGATTCAAAATGTGCCCATAAGGCACACATATACTGATTCAGAGCCGATTCAGACAAGCGGAGACATTGCAGCTGAAGGTGACTATCCTCGGCCCATATACAATTCAGGGGCCAAGGACCATGACCTTCCCGTGGCTCTCCCCGGTATGGCTCCGACTAAGCCTTGGAAATTAGGAGGTGAAGTTGGTGGGAGATCCGGAGGTCCTACCGCGCTCAAAGGCGGATTCGTGAAAGGCGTGCAAAATTGGTTGGAAACAAGTAAGTAGTTCAACGCGCATATATATATATATATATACATATATGTGTGTGTGTGTATACATAGATGCATGTATGTATCTGCGTGGGTGTATCATACCTATATGCCATATACATAAGTATATGTGTATGTATAATGATATATACATATGTATTCTTGTGTGAGTGTATATGTGTGTGGCCGTGGTCGTTCAATGTTTAAGACTTCCTGCTCAAAGTGGACTGCCTTCGAGAGCCAGGCTAGGACTGGTACATCATGGAAATCAAAACGGCTCAAAGTGACCAAGGGAGCGCGACTTGCAAACCATAGACTTCACCCATGGCCCAGCTCCAGAACCAGACTTTTGGATTCCGCCTCATGTTTCGTCCACGCGGAAAATCTAGCACATGTTGTGAGACCCAACCCTCAAAAAACCAAAAAAGAACTCCCAGTCCCAACAAAAATGTCTCCATCCTTGCCACCGGCATTGGTGTTCCCATCCAAGGCCCCAGAAGTGCTGCCGGCCACCAGGATGTTGCCTTCTCCGTCCACGCGCACCGCCTGCGCGAAGTCATCTTCCTCGCTGCCCCGCTGCACCACGAAGAGCCGCTCCCCGCCAGGCCGGAACTTGGCCTCGGCGCTTACCCGTAGTCCCCCAGTAAACTTCGCGCTTGGGGCACGTCTTTGTCCGGGATTGACGTCACAACAAAAAATAACTCACCTCAAACTGGCAACAAAGGTTGCGGTTGAGGTGTAAAAACTGCACGCTGGCAGAAGTAGCAAATGTCAAGAAGCTCTCCACTTTTTCCGGCCCAAACAGCAAGTCGAAACAGACAAGCTGAACTTCTGGACGCTTTCAAGTTTCGTCCGGCCCTCGCCCAACAGTTGAACAGCTGGCTTTTGACCTCAGCAACACCCACGCCATCCCTATGCCTCAATCCCTCACTGTGCCCAGAGCAACCCGACCTCCGATACCTGCAGCCAGCGGCGAGGAAGACATCGGCGCCGCCGAAATGGTCGCCGGCCATGGCGGCCCCCGTGTACCCGGCCACCAGAACATCATCGTGGTCCACGTCCAGAGCCCGGGCGTAGTCCCAGGAGCTGGTGCCCCACCTTGCCGAACCCTAGGCTTAAGCGCCGGGCAGCAGGGTGAAAGTAAGAAGCACAACTCCCCGTATGTGGGCAAGCATACGGGATGAGTGAACCCAAAATTGCGGAATTGTGCCATCTGCTTTCACCCAACTGTACTATTGGAATGGCAAGATGCTCCTCGCCAAAATGACCTTGCCCCAAAGCCATTACTTATTGTGGTCTTTTGCACCACCGCCTAGCACAAGCTAAGTGAAGCCCTGAAGAAGTGTCCAAGGCGCTGCTGAGTCCACAACCAGCCACCCTCTGAATCTAGCTTGGAGAGGAAGGGGTCGGCACTGCCATGGCCTGGCGATGAAGCTGCCAAAGAGAAGAGTTCAGACTGCCCTCCCGTCCACGTTGCCCCATTAGAGGCAAAGTGTGTTCCTTGATCGAGCCCTGTGTTCCATGGCAGTGCGGATGGGTCAAAATGAAGCCGGTAGCCGAAGCAATGTCGCCCGGCCAGTTGAAGCATCTAGGAACCTAGGATCACATCCAGCACCACAAACACTTTGGTTGGCGGAAATTCCAGCCAGAGAAGCAATCCTCAGTGGCTCCCAACAATCAATATGAAGTGGCCATCGGACAGGTGGCAGTTTGCCTGGGCCATTCCAAAGCCAAACAAGGGGCCCGGCCCATGCAGTTCTTCCACCAGCCTGATCGCACATAGCTTTGGGCAACAGCGTTAAGTTGGCCCAAAAAGCTGATTCCCTTGGTGACCTACTTGGTGACTGAATGCACCATAGCGCCACAATGTGTGAGATGAGATCTGCTGACGGCACCACACACATCATTATTTGCAAACTATGGGTGTTGGGCAAAGACATTCAACTGACTTCACACACTGCTGGTTGCAAAGTAAACGGCGGCTTAACTGCTCAATTGTTCAAAGCACCCAAGTCAAAGCCTGCTTGAGCAACCGAACTCGTCCTGAACCATGGAAAGAACAAAGAACTGGCGAAGTGCCGTGCTCCGAAACTCGCTGGTGCTCAGTAGGGAATAAGGACGGTTTAGGAATGAACCTATCCCCTTCGAGGAAACTGCAACGGGTGGAACAGTTGGCGGGCATTCCAACTCATTCCCTGCCTATCGCAAGCGCATTCAAAGGTATGGGGAGTGCCTTTTGGCGGGATCGGTTCAAGGCGCCTTTCAGGCTATAAAAGCCTCCGAAACCCTGCGCCAGCAAAGCCCAGGCCTGGGCCCATGGCACCAAAAGTGTACCCGGCCACCAGGAGATTTCCAGAGCCATCTGCACACATGGCCCGCGCATGGTCCGATGCGTTGGTGCCCCGTTGGGTGGTCCACTGCCAAGCACCTGCCATTCGCTGACCGCTGGCCACATGTGGGCACATGTCTTTGAACCAAGCCCTGGTCTCACACATGTCCACCAAACGAAACGCGGTGGGCATGTAAATCTGGAACATTCAGAATTTGCAAGCCGTTTGTTCTACCCCCCTTGTCTAGAGAAGCTGTGCGATCAAAATGCCTAGCGGCAAGAATGTCAACAGGGCAGTCCCGATTCACATACTGACTCGGAGCAATTGCAAGCTGCAGACAAAGAAGGTGACGAACAGTGACAAATAGCGACCATCGGCGGCCATTACACCAGGGTGAACGTAGATGGCACCATTCCCTTGTCACCCATGCGTGGCCGTAGGGCATCCCATCGGAACTGAGCGGGGCCTCCATGGCCGAACTTCATCAGAAAGACGTCTCTGGATCCAGCGAAGTGGTTGCCATCCAGCGGCCCGGCCGCGTCCCCGGCCTCGGAGAGACAAATGCGGGGCATCTCTTGAAAGAACTGCTTGAGGTCTGCCCTTTTTATGGAGTGCAGGAATCTGAGGAACCTCGTCAGGGACCCAGCCCTGCAAATGCTGACCCAGCGTCAACAAGCCTATCAAGTCCTCCGGCAAGCACTGCTTCTTTCGGTATGCCCTGTCACAACACTGAAATCAGTACCAAGTGAAACCGATTAATGGCCAAGCCAGCAACAGAGAAGCTCTAAAGTTCCGGCCACTCAGCTTGCTGGTCAGCTTCAAGGGCATGCGTCACCAGAGGAAACTTCACTTAGGGACCAATATGTCAAGGTTGTTCCTCACCGCGATCTGACGCCTGTTACGACGACCCGAAACCAACCCTCAAGGCCTCGCAACTCTAAACCCACCCTGCGAAGCCGAAAGCATTCGCCCAATTCCAATCTGCACCAAAATTCAGGCCGAAAGGAAACCTAAAACTAATCCTCAAACACATGGGTTGAACCTTGTTCAATAGCTCATTTGGCATCGTTCAAACTTTTCTTGGAGTTGCTTCCCCGCTGCGCATCTCAAGGTCCCAACATTTATGTGTTTGTTACGTTTTTTTTACACATTGGACATGCGCTTGAAAGCAGGGGGTGCAAAAAGCCGTACTAAAATCGTATTAGAAACCGTATTCAAATCGTATTGAAATCGCATTAAAATCGCAAAAATACGGTTTTAATACAAATTTAATACGATTTCAATACGATTTTAATACAATTTCCATTAGTGTACTTCTTTTGTTGAAACAAATTCCAATTTCCTAATCCCATATCGCAAAAATATCGTAAAACCGGCGTAACAAAACCATGTTTTCCAATCATATCAAAATCGTATCTAAATCGCACAAAAAAAATAACTGGGCTTCCCGTGACTTAGCCTACACCGTGGGTCACAAGTATAAGTTATGTGTTGCATCCGCGTCACTTTGTGATGTTCTGGGCTGACCGTTGGTTGAGTGCTGTTTGTTTGCTTCTTTCACTTAGCAACTTTATTGTTGCAAGCTACGGACATGAGAAGTCCCTGAGCAAGCCGTTTGCTTTTTGGTTCTTTCGAGCCTTGTGTTATAGCTTGCGTGCTTCGGATGCTTTGGCAGCTGCCGGTCTACAGGACAAGGCTATGCTTACTTGTGGAGATAAAGGGGTGCGCGCTTGGTGCAAATAAAGTGGCGAGATACGAAGACGCGACGATGCAAAGACACCGTATCGCCAAGACGCGAAGCTGCAAAGATGTCAAGACTCAATGTGGGATGTATGATGTGGGCACACGTCGATATATTTTTGCACACGTGCATGTTCATTTGGATGTATCCCATTTCCGCTGGCTGGATGCTTTCCAAGAATCGACAAGAGCTGACATGGCTTGCCTGATTACCTTCCCAGTGGCGTTTAAGATAGCCGCCGCGTATCCCCCTTCACCGATTTACGAAAAGCATTGCCAAACTTATAAGAGCACCCCAGGCTCTGGGATAATTTCTTGATGTCTCTATCCGGACGCTGCTTGATCTGGCATGTCAAAACCATTGGCTTTGCCCTCCACCGCAAGTGGCAAGTAGGGGCACAACCGCTTCTGACTGTTTATTTAATTGATCTCGCCCAGCAACAGTCATTAAACCCCCAGGCCTAAGTTCAGTATGACGTACCCCCAACCTGCTGGTTTAGCTTTCAGTAACCCCTTTAGACCAACCTAAAAAGGGCACTCTCAAAAACCATAGGCCGCCAAGCGGCCAGAAAAATGCCCCGGGAGTCCACATGCAGCGCCGCAGCGAAGTCCCAAAGCTCCGTGCCCCTGCAAATGTTCGAGCACCCATTGTTTGCCTTTCCGCCCATCTTTGCCATAGAACTTGGCTGGTGTTTTTTTTTCCGGGTGGAAGACCACAGGTTCTTCTAAAGGGGCCATCTCTCTGCGGTCCATCGGTACTGTGGAGATCTTTGCACCTTAAGCTGCCAGGTTTGCAAAGGGCCATTCTCTGCACTCCATGGGCAACCTGCAAAGGCAACCTGCCTCTGACTAGTCCACAGCCATGTGGACGCACTCAGCGGCATGCGCAGCAGCGCGCATAGCATCCAAATGCCCATGGCTGAGACCCTAGGGCAGTTGTGAGCCAGAACGCATGCAGGCCCGCCAGGCAAGAGTGACAACATGTCAGCAACTCCGCCGACAACTAAGTGACAGGATGGGAACGCACTCACTCTGCTCCGAATATCCCGACACATGTGGATCACGCTGCACTCTTTCCCTCCACCGACATCTTGCGGGAAATCCTCTTCAGCCTGGGTGCCGGCGTAGATTCCGGCTCGCCAAGTGACACAGCGCCGGTCGGCAAGGCGGCCGCATCTTCCTGCAGCGGAGAATCAGAAACATCAAACGTGGAGTGAGACTTGCATCCCTTGGTGAAGGACCTTCGTGGACTTTCCTCGTTTTGCCTGAGCTTTCCCTAGTTTATGGCAGGATGCCAACGGAAGCCTCGTGCATCGCGCCTCTGCCTCCACATCCGCTGAGATCGTTGAGGGTGGCCGCTTGCGTTGCGCTGGAGACTTCCCAGATGGCATCTTGGCAGATCCTCCAAGCATGAAGTCATGCCATCTTTTCCCACCAAATCTTCGATCTGGCCTTTCGCAGCTTAAATGCAGGTTGCAATGCAAAGTCTCTAGTCTATCAAATTTGTTTGCTTGCCCTCTAGAGCTCTAAGGCTCTGCATTACATGCCGCCCACTCGTTCATCGTTGCCCTTCCTGCCTGCACGGCTCACAGCTCCTTTGCCACGACCTGCGTGCGGGAATCAACAGCGCAGCAGGCACCCATGAAGATGCTGTGCCGTTGCAAAACTGCTGTCTCCGCCGCTCAGGAAAACCCCGCCAAAAAAATAGCTCATTGCCATAGCTCCAACCGGAAATGGTGAAGCCCAGATAGGGCACTTTCCTCCTAGACCTCGTTTTGCAGTCGGAGCGGACCTTCCCATGAGGTTCCTCGGCGCGGTTCCGCGCCCAGCGCGTGCCTCGACCACGCCGCGCGCTCGGCGATGCACCCGATACTCCTGGCCGCAAATTCCTTTCCCGCGACGCAGCGATACCTATATTGATCATTCCCATGGCTACATTATTTCAAGGGGCTTCCCTTTTCACCAAACAGTCGCCATACCCTTTCCGCAACCGCGCAATTTTGCACACTCCAAATGCCCAGCCTGGAGTTGCCGCGGCGGCCTGCAAGTGTCAGGGACGGAACCTCCGAACCTCGAGCCAGCGAGTGAGACAGCTCCGGCTGAGGCACTGCTGACTTTGTCCGTGGACTGCATATCCAAAGTTGCCATCTGATGATCCAGGATCTGGAGGCGGCTTTTTCGGGATTTCCTGTGGTTGCCCTGAACATATCACCCCTACCAAGGGAAACTTACCTTGGCCAATCAACGCGATGATGACCTCCAATATATGGAAACATAGGGACCCGTTGCTCAAAACAATTAGTGCCTTGGCTCGGCAGTTTCGTGGGCCACTCGTGCAGTAGCCGAGCCCCAAGTCAACGTCAAGCGCCCGTTTGAGACTGGAGAATGGTTCTTCATGGGAAAAGGGACATTTTCTTGAAGCCGCATTTGGTGGAGACTGTTAGCCCGCAGCACCAGCTGCCGCCCTACCCAACTCACCGGAAAGCACCTCGGAATGCCCGGCGTGAAGGGCATGCTGGGCTGCGCCTCAACACACTCTCCGCTGAGTAAGATGACTGCGTGGGAGGAATCCGATCCGTATCATAACATTGATGCACCTGGCGGAGAAAAAATGCAGACGCCTCTGCTTCCATGCTGAGCTTTTGGCGAGAGCCAGACACCAAACACCATCTGATGGAAGAAACTGCAAAGGCGCAGCGATACATGCCCTTTGCGCAAACATGAGGCCAGGTTTGCTTCGGCTTGAAGTATGCCGGCTGTCACTTACACAAATCAAAACAAAGCAAAACAACACCTACCCGGCGCATTTTGGCCCTACGTGTTTGTCTGCGAATAGGGGACGACTCCCTCAATAGGGTACCGAGTCTCATATACATCCCGCCTCGCCAAACCGAAAGCTCCGGGTGATCCTCCAGGAGGATCTCTACAGGCCAATGGCTGGGCAGCAGCCGCCGCAACTCTGCCCTGCGCGCCGGAAAAACGACCAAAGGCAAGGGACGACAAGTTGCGTCTGCTGGTTGGCTGTGCCATGTGCTGAGGGAAAAACTTGTTTTTTTCCGCCAAACGACCGACGAAGACTTCGATCTTTGGGCCCTGCGCTCTGGGCCGCCTGAGTCGGCGCGGGAGGTTCGGCAATCGCGCGAGGCCGCCGCAGAGCACCACGCGGCCTAAGTGGGGACGCAGCATTTCTGGCACCGCGAGGATCGCCTGGTGAACCAGCCTCGGCTCTTGATCGACAGCGAACGGCACCAGATAGGGTGAAATGTTTGGCCCCATTGCGTAAAGTTCAACTCTGCGGATCTTTCTGGAAAGGCTGCTCTGCAACTTGGACTTCCAACGAAGTGGATGCCTCTCGGTTTGCTTGATGAGTAGAGCCTAGACTGGAGCCAGCGGCAAAGAAAAAAATGCGGTACCGTACTTCCGGTCCCCTCCGCTGTTTAAACAAAAGCTAAATATTGTTGAAGCTTGAACACCACGAGCCACGGGAGCAATCTCGGGGTCCCTTTGCAATGCGTGAGTTCTTCTGAAGCGCGCCAAGCAATGCTGCCTTTCGGATTTCGCCCCCCACCCCCGCACGCGAACCAGTACCCAGCCTCAAAAACACAGCCCAAAGCAAAGTTGTGATGGGACGCATCCTCGCGCCCCGCCGGGTTTCACTAAATTTTGTGAGCAACTCTGCCAGGCCAGCAGCTGGAATGCCGTGGTCCTTGCCGGATTGAACCGGAAAGTGACAGGTATGTCAAGAACGGGCACCCCGCCCTGGTTTCTACCCGACCTGAGAAACAAATCAAACCTCCAGCCATGAGCTCAACTCAGGCTGAAACCTGTTTCTCCTGAAGAGTGCAAATCCTGCGCCCGTCTGAGTCGCAATCAAAGCCCATTAAAGAGGTCCAACCCATGTAAAGAATGCAAAGGCCATATTTATCTCCCCCGTTTCCTAACCTTCATCCACCCAGCTTAGGAGGACATGGCTGGCCCATCCAGGTGCGGTTCTTGAGGCTACCAAAAATGTTGGGATTGCTTTTGCCGCGGGGCAAGGAAAATTGCACGAGGCAATCGAAACCCGCAGGGCGCGCGAAGCGCCTGCGGCCGGAAGAGCGCCTCCGGAATGACGCAGCGCTCGCGGGTCAGGGTGATGCTCTGGGCGCCCTCGCTCGGGGGCTCTCTCGGAGGGGGAAGTAAGTTGCAATCTTAGCTTTTGTTTTGTCTGCTTCTGTTTTTACTTAAGGGGGAGCTTTCTTGGCATGGGACACCAGGAGAACCCTTGTCCAAATTCTTCAACTCCGAAACCTGAAGTAAGAATCGGATCTTCATGGTGAGCACGGTTTATCCTTGAATCCGTCGCCATAAAATAGGTGGACCCCCTGCTGCTGATACCCAAAGAACGGCACAAAAGGGGCGAGGCAATTAGAATCCAAGGGGGGGGTTCCCCAACAAAAGACACACACACGCCTCAGGCACTTCGGCAGCCACGAACCCCTGGAGGCGCTCCTGAGGAACCAAATGCATCGAATTCAAAGCCAAGTTAACCACTCAAATCACCTCCCAAACAGAAGCACCTCCCCCAAAACCCACCCTTGAGACCTGCAACATTTCCCAACAAGCTACTCAATCAGCGGCATTGGCTGCTTTCACGCCAAAAGCTCAGGGTTCCTACATGTTCTTTAAAGCATCACCAAAACAGTGGGCCAAACCAGCGATCTTCAAAACCTCCAAAAAGCAAAACGTAGCGAAGCCGTTCATTTCCACTCGGTTGGCTTGAAACCCGAAGCCACCTGGAAGTCCGGCAGCACATAGTTCACCGGCTCGCCCTCTTCCAGGCGAATGTCCGTAGCTACCCGACAAGTCCTCCCAGAGGCTCTGACTTTGGCTCTGGAATGCAATGAACCGAAAAACACGAGGCATGGGTAAATGCCATGCACATCTTAGGAGTGCACGTACCAAGATAGATAGACAGACGGACAAACAGACAGAGAGACAGAGAGACAGAGAGACAGAGAGACAGACAGGCAGGCAGGCAGGCAGGCAGATAGATAGATAGATAGACAGGTAGAAATAGAAATACAAATATATGCTGACTCAAAAAGTCTATGTTTGTCGAAGGTGTTTAGCGTATGTGTATGGTCGCCGGACTTCGCTCACGAATCGAGCCCGGTCTTTGTGAAGATGTCTTCGACGGTGAGCCACGCCTTTGAGAGATCCAGGTGCCGGAGCTTCCTGGGTCGCATGGCTTGGGAATTGGGCTGGATAAATGCAGAGCGTTGACCGTCAGCCATCCCCAAACAAAGACTGGAGATTCCCCACCCCTGTTTGGTTTCCCTACGGAAAATCAAGAGAATGGCTACGCTCATATACAGCATCTGAGGGGGGCACAGGCTCTCCATCAAGAGGTTGGTGAGGATGCGCCCTGCGGATTCAGCAAAATTTGTTTGCGGCACCTCTTGGCTCACAAGCCTCCAGGGGAGTCGATCTGGCTTCGTTTCAGTATCAAAATTACAGCCCCAGCCGAGAAGGATACTAAGCTTGCCAGGATATGAAATGCCTTCCATCGAAATTCACGAGCTCTCAGCAGAAATCACACTCCTTCCAAGCAACTGAAGTTCACAAAATAGCTTAGACAACCTGTTTCCGATTTACGGCAAAGCTACTTGGGCATGTATCAAAATAGGGGCAATCTAAAAAAAGAAAACGGGTTTTCCTTCGGGACATGCCTTTGAACCAAGCAACACAAACCGTACCGTGCCTCCAAAACAAAGCCCACCCGCTTGCCACACGTGGAAGCAAAGGCCTCCCACGCAGCTGCGGCGCCCCGCGGACGCAATGGCCTTGCCCTCCACGCAGGGTTGGGCAAAGCTGGCGGAAAAGCCAAGGCCCAGCACCGTACAGCCTGAGAAGCTGAAGGTCCCTCAGAGTTTCCATTGGAAAACCCAGGCTTAAGCCCAGGAGTTTCAAGTGGGGAAATCACCACTGGGTTGTCTGGGTTGCTAGCCCCAAGCAAAAGGATTGATGGAAAAACCGCCAGTAGAAAATCGCCCAAATACTTGCTGATCTGGGACCGGATTCCCTTGTGGAATGGAAATGTCGACCGATTGGGTTGGTTCCGCTGGGTTCTGGTGGGGCGCTGGAACATTCTGGGAACTGAAGCGTAAGCTTTCTACTGCTTTTAACAATGGTAGTTTCACAGGGTAAAGCTTAAACGAGGGGCCCTCGAACTTGCAAAAGCTCTCAGTGGGAAAATGGAAGGGTTTCAGGAATGAACCGGAAGGGGAGTCCCCTGAACAGAAACCGTGAATGGTTTGTTGGGGGCATCCCCTCTTCCCGAGAACCCGCAAGTAAAGGATTCCTTCAAAAATGCCTGCTTTACAAGCAAATGCTCCAAAGAATGTCGAACATACTGGTGTATTAATATTAGACACCCTTCAATCTTCAGGACTTCAGGTGGTTGGTGTCCTTTGGGATTCCCATTAAAACCGTCAAAAATGGGGACACCTACCTCGAGAAGCACCCATTTGGATTCTGCGCAATCAACTGGGACAGGTGTGCCTGAGAAGTCTCGAAAAAGTCGCCCCTCCCTTCTCGGAACATTTTTTTACATTGGTTAGCCTTTCGACCATGGCACATGTTGGTTGAGATGTTCGCCTCCCAGGCATCGGCATCCCAACACTACATGGGTTTATGTCAAAATCAATAGCTGGAATCAGCTTGGTTTTCGACGCCTCCCTTTCAAAACAGCCCAGCCAAGGGTGCCCTCCAGAACCACACACTTAAACTCCAGATGGAGGGTGCTAATCTTTCGAGTACAACTGATGAGTCTCGAGTACAACTGATGCGTCTCGAGTACAACTGATGAGTCTCGAGTGGGCGTAGGTTCGGCTTGCAGTCACTTGGTTTCCGTCTAGCAGCGAAAACGCTACAAATTCAACATGAAGCACACACAGCAAGAGAAACAGCAGGCCAAAAGGACTTTGAATCACGCGAGTTGCGCAGGTACGCTGGGATGATCAGTCCCAGTATCACCACCGATGGCAAGTGTCTTCGTTGGCAGGAGACTTGCCATGGTGCTCCTGCCCCCTGCAGTTGTATGGTGGCAGGGTATTCTGCCACTCCGCACACACACGCCCCTCAGTGAGGGGCGAAAAGTCTCTTTTTCGGGGGGAAGAAGAAGCGCCCGAAAGACGGACGAAGACCCCAACAGAAAACAAACGGAGCAAGAACCCAAAAGGAACAGAAAGGCCCCACGTTGGGTCTCCGCGGGCAAAACCCCAACCAAGAAACACGAAAAACGGGAAACCGAGTTTAGGGTCACCGCCGAGGGCAAAGAACCCCAAACAGTCCAGAAACCCTCCTAAACCTTGTAGAGAAAGAGCACCGCGAAGTTGAAGAACGACACCACGAACACGCCATCCCTAAACGGGCGAAGAGGAACAACCGGAAGTAGTAGTGAAAGGGGAAGAAGAAAAGAAGGAGAGAGCGAGAAAGAGAGAAAGGAGGAGAAGGGCCGAGATGCGTATTTAGGGCGCCGCAGCCCGCCCGGGGAAAGGAGAAAGAAACGCAAGGGGGAGAGAAGAAGAAGAAGGAGAGAAAAAAGGAAGACAAAGGGAGCGAGATGCGTATTTAGGGCGCCGCAGCCCGCCCGAGGAGAGGAGAAAGGAGAAAAGGAAAAGGAAGAGGGAAAGGGAAGTAGTATGCGTTTTTAGGGCGACGCATCCCGCCCAGACAGGAAGAGAGGATGAAGACCAAAGTCGAGGAGGAAGACGACGAATCCCACACAGGGGCCAAGAGGACGAACACGAAATAGCAACGGAAGGGGAAGAAGACGTCAAGCCAAACTACGTGAGGAAGAAGAGGAGTAGGAACAGGAAGACAGACACGAAGACGACGACGAGGAAAAAGGTGAACAACGCGAGGACAACCAGGCCATCCCTACGCGGGCGAACAGGAGGAGGGCGAACGCGCGGGTCACGAAAGGCAGCAGGAAGAGAACGGGAGGAAGGAGAAGCCATCCCTAGGCGGGCGAAGAACCAGAAGACGGGCACGCGGAAGACGAAGGCGAGAAAAAAGAGCGAAGGGTGAAACGTAGCTATGAAGAGGTGGCTGTCTTCCCTTTAGTGAAACCTCGTTCCTGGTTAAATGTGAAATTCCGCTGATCTATGATAAGCACGTTGAGGTCAAATTTTCCGACAGAGCCGGCCCGGGGTCGCACAATGGGTACACCCGAGGATTCCCCACGAATGGGGTGTACACACTTAAACTCCAGATGGAGGGTGCTAATCTTTCGAGTACAACTGATGAGTCTCGAGTACAACTGATGCGTCTCGAGTACAACTGATGAGTCTCGAGTGGGTGTAGGTTCGGCTTGCAGTCACTTGGTTTCCGTCTAGCAGCGAAAACGTTACAAATTCAACATGAAGCACACACAGCAAGAGAAACAGCAGGCCAAAAGGACTTTGAATCACGCGAGTTGCGCAGGTACGCTGGGATGATCAGTCCCAGTATCACCACCGATGGCAAGTGTCTTCGTTGGCAGGAGACTTGCCATGGTGCTCCTGCCCCCTGCAGTTGTATGGTGGCAGGGTATTCTCCGCACACACACGCCCCTCAGTGAGGGGCGAAAAGTCTCTTTTTTCGGGGGGAAGAAGAAGCGCCCGAAAGACGGACGAAGACCCCAACAGAAAACAAACGGAGCAAGAACCCAAAAGGAACAGAAAGGCCCCACGTTGGGTCTCCGCGGGCAAAACCCCAACCAAGAAACACGAAAAACGGGAAACCGAGTTTAGGGTCACCGCCGAGGGCAAAGAACCCCAAACAGTCCAGAAACCCTCCTAAACCTTGTAGAGAAAGAGCGCCGCGAAGTTGAAGAACGACACCACGAACACGCCATCCCTAAACGGGCGAAGAGGAACAACCGGAAGTAGTAGGAAAGGGGAGAAGAAAAGAAGGAGAGAGCGAGAAAGAGAGAAAGGAGGAGAAGGGCCGAGATGCGTATTTAGGGCGCCGCAGCCCGCCCGGGGAAAGGAGAAAGAAACGCAAGGGGGAGAGAAGAAGAAGAAGGAGAGAAAAAGGAAGACAAAGGGAGCGAGATGCGTATTTAGGGCGCCGCAGCCCGCCCGAGGAGAGGAGAAAGGAGAAAAGGAAAAGGAAGAGGGAAAGGGAAGTAGTATGCGTTTTTAGGGCGACGCATCCCGCCCAGACAGGAAGAGAGGATGAAGACCAAAGCTCGAGGAGGAAGACGACGAATCCCACACAGGGGCCAAGAGGACGAACACGAAATAGCAACGGAAGGGGAAGAAGACGTCAAGCCAAACTACGTGAGGAAGAAGAGGAGTAGGAACAGGAAGACAGACACGAAGACGACGACGAGGAAAAAGGTGAACAACGCGAGGACAACCAGGCCATCCCTACGCGGGCGAACAGGAGGAGGGCGAACGCGCGGGTCACGAAAGGCAGCAGGAAGAGAACGGGAGGAAGGAGAAGCCATCCCTAGGCGGGCGAAGAACCAGAAGACGGGCACGCGGAAGACGAAGGCGAGAAAAAAGAACGAAGGGTGAAACGTAGCTATGAAGAGGTGGCTGTCTTCCCTTTAGTGAAACCTCGTTCCTGGTTAAATGTGAAATTCCGCTGATCTATGATAAGCACGTTGAGGTCAAATTTTCCGACAGAGCCGGCCCGGGGTCGCACAATGGGTACACCCGAGGATTCCCCACGAATGGGGTGTACACACTTAAACTCCAGATGGAGGGTGCTAATCTTTCGAGTACAACTGATGAGTCTCGAGTACAACTGATGAGTCTCGAGTACAACTGATGAGTCTCGAGTGGGTGTAGGTTTGGCTTGCAGTCACTTGGTTTCCGTCTAGCAGCGAAAACGTTACAAATTCGACATGAAGCACACACAGCGAGAGAAACAGCGGGCCAAAAGGACTTTGAATCACGCGAGTTGCGCAGGTACGCTGGGATGATCAGTCCCAGTATCACCACCGATGGCAAGTGTCTTCGTTGGCAGGAGACTTGCCATGGTGCTCCTGCCCCCTGCAGTTGTATGGTGGCAGGGTATTCTGCCACTCCGCACACACAATGCAGCCGAAGCAGCATGGGGAAGGGGAGCACGCCAGCAGCTGCGCCGACACCCCTGCCGCCACGCTGGTTCTCATGGGGCCTGAAAGCCTGTCTTTACAACGTGTTGGGCAGTACAATATGTTGGGCAGAAAAAGGAAAAGCTGCCCGAACTCAATCACCTGCAACATCAAACCACTCCAAGTTGTTTTTGCCCCTTGGCTCTCTCCCTTTGAAGGGCTTTTCCCTTGGAGACAAGGTTGGAACGATCCTCGCAACATTGCTTTGACAACGGGCATCACGAAACCCATCACGAGCCACGCGCATCGGGCCTGGGCTTTTGAGCGCCACACAGGAGGACTCGATGCAGCTGACCTCAGCGAAGCCTGGCGCCCAGATGGAGGGGGTGACCGAAGACGAGGGATGCGCGTGTCTCAACATGGGAATTCGGACTCCCAAAACTGACACACACCCAAAGAAAGTCGGGCAAAACCTCTGTGGCATCAGCCTGTTGAGAAAAGGCCCAGCGAAACGACTAAATCAAATGCGGTGATTGAATTGAATATCATTATGTGACTGCTTCTCAAGTGGGGCGCATGATATTTCGGGCAGTTGCCTTCCAACCTTTGCAGGGCTGTACTTGGCCGATCTGAATATCTTTGTTTCAGGAAATGATATATGAGGGGTTGGTCATGTCATCGCAACATGTCCTACCGCTTGATCTGCCCTTTCAATGCTATCCGATTGCGTTCACCATGACCATTGAACATGCTGGGTGGCTGACAGCCAGTCAGCCAGCCAAAGGAGAGGCTGCACGTGGAAACCAAAACCTTTGGCAGCCTGGCCCGAGGGAGGGATCCATACATTGACGGTCAAACTTAGGGCCCTGGATCCCATTGAAAGGCGGTACGGGTCCAAACACAGCCATGCTTTCCCGTCCTACTCAAAAGCCCTCAAGTCGCTTAAAGCCTTCCGCGTCCACACGCGCGGTGTCGTCCCACCGTTGCTTGCCTTCCCGCTTCCTTGTCACCATGCTTCCAGCCCGGTCCTGCCGGCCTAAGTCCTCTTCCAGAATCCTGGGGCCGTCAAGCGGGGGGAGAAACTTCTGGGCCGCTGCAGGGCGGCAACAAGTGGCAGTTCGTTTCTTGCGCAGGTTTGTGAGGAGAGTAGCCCTGTACGAAAAAGACTCAAGAAAGCACTCCCAAATGAAGGGTGGGCTTTTAGGTATCCCTGGCAGCCTTTTGTCCAAAAGGGAGCTGGCCATCTTCCCCCAGCGGACCCCCCCCCAAAACATTCACATATGGGTTAAACATACCTGGTTCCTCCTTGGCCAAAACAGTGTTCTCAAAAAAAGTGCAAACCCGAATCTCACACCCAACGCAAAACACACGCCCCCCGTTGCGCCGGGCATCGCCACCACCTCCTCCTGCACCTCCAAGGGGGTCAGTGGCGCCAGCACGGCCAGCACGGCGCAATCTCCCGGCCGCAAGCCGCCCAGGTCTTGGCCTTTGGAGAAAATTGGCTGATCTTCGACTTTTTGGACCAACTTCTTTCTCACCTGAAATAATTTTATCCCCAAGGCTTGGGCCCAACATAGTGGCTCTGCTGTTTTTCACCAGGGCTCGCCTGAAATAGTCTGATACAATGCGTAGCGAGTTTCGAAGTGAGAAGCCACGTCTTCATGAGGGCCAACCCTAACGTGCGGCGTGCATGTGCCCATCACCTGACAATTCCAACTGCGATTTCAAGCGCTGTGTAGGCACACCGTCACAGCCGACACTCGTCTAGTTGCCTGCAAGCGCCAAATGCCGCGACCAAACCGGTGATGTGTCGTCTCTGCCGCTTTTTCTTGCGCTTGCAGGGTAACGTGGGCGTCGCACAACATGCTAGCGAATTCAATGAACAACGACTCAGCAGCAAATGAGATCGCTAGGCATCCTGATTTCAAGAAGCTGGCGCCATACAGTCTTGCACGCACAATCCACACCATCTAAAGATAATGAATATTATAATATTGGTGAGGTCTGTCAACACTCAAAAAATGTGGTAGACCAGAAATAGTTCCAATATGTTTATTGCTGATCTCATGGATTTGTTAATTGTTCCAGCAACTGTTGTTACAGACGGGAAGGTTCTTAGAACGCTCTTTTACAAGGACCCGAATATCTCTCCTGATCAAAGCATTTCCCTCAACCAAATAGCAACGATTTGCCTTTTGGTTTCCCGCAAAATGTCCAACCTGCTTCAGAAGCTCCCACCCCCCACCACCCGGCCCCCCGCCCCCCACCCCTCGCCCTTTTTGCCCCAGGCGCGCGCCAGCGCGGCGGCCCAGATGCGCTGCTGGCGCTCCGAGTCCAGCAGGAGACCGCGACGGCTGGGGCGGAGGAGCCTGAAAGCGAGAACCTTGACCGAGGAACATATGGGGGGCCTGGAGAAAATGAGAATGTCTCTTTTGTCTTTTGGGCTTCCTTTCGGGAAGATTGACCATTCTGGGCTATGTGGCACGCATCTTTGATGGATTTTGCGCTTCTGGCCCCAAAAGGGCCCCAAGACCCGAATAGGGCCGGCTCAAAACGATTCATTCCTTGATCTGCGGAGCATGCCACTCCGCTTCCCGAAGGAGAGAAGGAGAAGGTCCAACTGCAACTCGGAAAACCTGTGCGCCTTTGGAAGCGTGCATTTTACACGCTTGAGCTGGATTCGGCCGGTCCACGAATGAATCACAGTCGCCCTGAATTGGCTGTGCAGCCTTACTGATTCCTTCAAGAAAACAATGCCCTCGCGTTCACATCTTTTGGAGGAAATTGTCCGAGACAACAATTATGTCCCGTCAGGTTGCATGGCAACAATGCAAAACAAGAAACTATCTATGCCTTGAGTGTGTTGTTCCGCGTCTGCGAAGGTCTCACGGCCTCGTTCTAAATCATCCAAAACCTTTTTTGCTGTGTAGGCCTGGTGCAAAGGTTCTTCTTGGCTACATTGCCTGCCCCTCCCCCGATCGGTTTGAGCCGCTCCAGAAACCAAAGTGCCTGCATGACGGCAAGGACAGCACGTCACGGCCGAAGAGCAGGTGCTTGCCTTCACGAGGACTGTGACTTGCAACATTGTCCAACAAAAACAACACAACAGTTTCCAAGGAAAAGTCGTCTTAAAGGGAGAAACACATCCTGGCAAATGTCGATGAACCGCAGCAGCCAAGTATTGCCCCCAAGGCGATGCAGCAGGAAGAAATGCGAGGATAAGAGCATGTGTCGACTAGGGGCACCTTACAGATTTGTGGCGGCGGTGGTCCGATTTGCTTCCCTTGAGAACAACCAAAAAGGGCTTCCCTAAACTAGGCACACCATGTAGAAGGCCGGCATACTCTCCTGCTTGCGTGGGGGGCTTCGCAACATAGGGGGTCCCAATTTAGTATGATTTTGGAGGGAAAGCACAAGGAAATCAAGCTTCTTGATGAGATCCCTGATTTTTAGAACCTTGTGACATGCAAAGAACCGCAGGTCAAACCCCAGACCGCTCCTCCTTGCGCGGCACAGTTCGGCTCCTCGCGAGGAACATCCTCATGGGCCAAGCCCAAGCGCAAGGTTCCGCCGCCCACGTCCTCAGGGGTCTGGTCACCACGGAATTGGCCGCCTTCTCAGAGGAACCCACCCCCACCAAGTGACATGGAAGTCACCAGAAATTGCCCTTTAGGAAAATTGGCTTCCAGGAACCCCCTGTCAGTTCCATGTTCATGCAAACTTGCCTCCACAATAGGGTGCAATGGGGTAAAAGTAGATGCCACGACTCACTTTATGTGGGGAAGAAAGGGACTGAGGGAACAGTGCCCTAGTTTCACCCAACCGCGCATACTCTCCACAAACCAGCATGAGCCAGAAACACCTGGCTCCAAACGCTCTGAAGCCTAACCAAGCACAACGGCCAAGCGACCAAGCCTCTTGGAGCACACGCTCTTGGAGACTAGACCCATGAGTATGGCTGTCATGACCCTCTCGGCACCACCCCTGCGGTTCGCACCAACGACCTTGGTCCTAGTCGGGTTGGGTCTTTGTCCCCTACCCCGCACACACACACACACAAACATTGTGGCACCTTGCAGCCGGCCCTATCAAGAAGGAACTTGATCCTCCAGGACCCCCCACCCATCGAAGGGGAATGGCACTGGTAGCGGGAGAGGCTTGTTTACAGCCATGTGTCCAGAATCAGCACTGGCCGCTCCATGGTCGCATGGCTCAGGCCGGAAACCTGAGCCTTGGAGCTTTGACTTGCTGTTTGCCAATGTCCAATTTCTTGGTCGGGGGGGATCCCCGCGCCCACACTGCAACCTAGCTTCCTTTTTGGGGCTTAGGGTTTAGGGTGGAGGGGAAGGGAACGCGCTGGACACGTCTGGTGTTCTGCACACTGGCAATGGTTAGAATATGTAGCCACCTGCCTGGGCAATTCTAAGCGCGAGTATTTTACAATGAAACCCTGCTTGCTCGTGAGCGGGGCTTTAAGCGCACAAAAGCCAATCTGAAGAACCCCGATGATTTTGCCCCAACTTTGGATCGCGGCCGTATTGGGGGCAGCCATCCTTCCTGCACACCTTGAGCAAGGAGCGGGGACCGAGCCGGCGCCAAGAAACAGCAAGGCAATTTCCCAGCTTCAAAAAGAACTGCGGAATTTCAGACACTCCCCAATGAACTGTATGGGTATGAACCTGAAAAGCTTTTGGAGCGTTCCTTCTGCACTCAGCTCCCGCAAGTCACCTTGGGAGCTTCAAACTCTCAATGCCCGGCGCCTGCGGCGCAAAAGTGGTAGGGCGGAAAGTCGGAAAGGCCAAAGCGAACTCGAGCCAGGAATGGGCCGCATCGTCGTTCTTTGCCCCCACATCTCCCGCCCATCCTTGGAGTCTGAAATCAGCTGGATGAGCTGCCCCCCAAACCTACACGGGGGTGAAAGTGCATGGCACCGTTTTCTCATGTTTAGTCATCTCGTCTACTTTCCGACGCCGAAGGAAATATGCCATCGATGTATCTTCAACCGACTTCTCAAGCGAGCCGGGCTGGGCGACTCCTCAAAGTCTCGGTAGTCGGCCCAAATCTCCGGCCTCACGCGCAAAGGCCCTGCTATCCAGCGCCACATTTCCCGCAGAGTTGTGAAACACACAATCGGTGTCTTTCTACGATAGCTCCACGACCGCCAAGCCGCTACCCCCAGCTGAAAGTTCGGCTTCTGCCCTTTATATATGGCGGCTACAGCGTGGTTGTATGTCCCTTCCAGGATCTTGGCTTCTGCGCCAACATGGCATGAGGCTGAAGCACACCTAACATCCCATGGCACCTGACGAGGGGCTCTTGTGGAAGTTGATCTTCCAAATGCTCTCCCACAGTTGCCATCTAAATGGCATCTTCAGCTTCATGTCGACCCCGGTTTTTGCCAGAACCTGCGGAATAGACCCTCTACATTTTGGGACGCCCCCAAACCCCCCCCCCAAAAAAAGGGCCAGGTTCTCAATCAACCCCAGTAGCTGGGAGGAAGGGTTCCAGCCGCCAGCTCTGAGTCAGAAGGCCCATAGGCAGGGTGCAGGCCCAAGATCTTGATGGCCTGCGTGGGCGCAGAAGCACTACTTGTGGCAGCCGATCTACGGCCTCGTAAACGGTTGTTTTTCTGCAAGTATCTGTCAGCATGCGCCAGGCGAGTAGGCCTAAGCGTGCTGAAGCTGATGTTCACTTGGGAAGGGGGTGAACGAAAGGTAGCGCGTGAGGGACAGCTGACTCAGCCAAGCTCTGTGCAGCACTAAATGTGCAGTTTGCTCACCTTGGGTGTAACTTCTTAAAAGCGACAGGCTTACTGCCTCATTGTGTTCTTTAGCCGGTCTTTGCTGGGTTCCCCACCTGTCCGGTTCTCGAGCGTTTTGTGCTCTTTAGCCCTTCTATGCCATGAATTTCCCGCCAGTCCGGTTTTCTAGCACCTGTGCCCTGTAGCCTTTCTATGCCATGGGTCCCCATTGCAGACTGTCCCAGGGAAGGAAGGGCCAACTTCACCCGCGTGAAAACAAAGAGCCGACCTCGGCCTTAGGCAGCGCATCGCGTCAGTAGGCCGCACATGGGCGAGCGAAAACGCTAAAGCAAAAACACTCCAGGAGAGCAATCGCATGGAAGAATCCCATCTCACCTTGGAATTCATTTCAGACTCTGAAAGCCGGTCCACACCCTTCTCAGTTCCCCCATGTCGCGCGGCCAAAATCCTTGCTCCAGCTCCCTCCAGTCCGCCTGACAGGGCCGAGAAGCGGTCAGATCCCTTCACCGAACGCTTTGGGGCGCGATTTCCCATAATTAAACCATAGGCAACGGGGATCCTTCCAGAAACTGGCATTCTGTAGCTCTCTGCAGCATTCTGGCCCTTGAAGCCATGTGGAAACACGCAGACGCACCCACCCTCTACCTTGGAAACCACCTCACGCAAACACAAGACTTCAAGGCAAACTAAAGCACGGTGTATACCTCAAAGCCAGCCAAAAGCGGACTGGCCGAGGCGGGTAACGCGAAGCGTTTAATCTTTTGATTCCAAGAGCCCTCCCCGGAACCCCCAAAATTGACTCTTGCTAAAGCAAGGTACTAACTCCAGGTTAGCTATCGCTACCTTTCGCGATTTGTCATGAGAGCAGCCACCGCCTCTTCATACACCCCGCGCGTCGTAGACCTTGGCACTTCCGCAACGAAATCGTCGCTCGCAATGCAGAGCTCCTCCCTAAAATATGTTTCAGCGAGGAGTATCCTAACAATGATGCCGGAGATGTACCAGTTCACCATAATTAAGTGCCATTCAATTAAAGGTCCGCGAGAGGCGTTGTCATCATCAGCAGTCAGCCGTGAGGCGTCAGTCCTTGCATTTTGCTGTATCTGCTGTGGCATCTAGGCGCCCGAGCGCCTCAGACCTTTCCCGGTGCAGCGCGCAGCGAGCGAGCCTAGGCCAACAGTAGCCAGACTGCGCTGGGATTCGATGTGAGCACTGCACCATACGGAAAAGTGGATGCCGCAAGTAACCAAGTATCCACAGTATCACACGCCACCAAGACATCAGGATCAAGCCGGAGCCTGCAAACAACTTGGCTTCCATTTGGGCAGCGCTCTTCTTTTGACCCCTGGTAAGAAGAACATGTGCTACCTCCCACCGAGGAAAAACCACTCTGTTCCCGATCCTCCGAAGAAAAACGCATCTCGTTACCCAAGTGAAACCGTGAAGCTGACAAGCCACGGCCGGCCCTCACCCCTACCATTGTCCCATACCAACACGACAGCCTGAGAGTGTTGAAGCTTGCAAGGCATGTCAACCCTTCTGCCACTTTTCTCCGATTCGGATGCAGCTTGCTGCTGCGACTGGCACCGCACCTGCGCGACAAGATAACAGCTCCATGCTCAGCTTGCGAATGCACACTCGTGAGCACCTATGGTTTTGAACACGCACTTGAGAAAAATTACGGGGAAAAAGTATGGCACCTCGTTGACCTGTGACTTGCCTTTTCCAACTTGAGCAAACGCTCCGAAGAACCTGGGTACGCCTCGTTGTGTTCAATTTCTTCGTTTACAGAGCTGCTTCAGCTTGCACTTTGCTCAAGGTAGCGCATGGCATCGCATGGCATCCCCAACCGTCCCCAACCTCTGGCATCATGATTGGCGTGGCGCCGCATGCCCCACTGGCCTCGGCCTTCTCCTTCACAGCGCCTGCAACACAAACCCCAAGGAGAAGTCGCCCTTAGGGTCGCATTGCACAAGCAGAAAATGGCACGCCCCATCACGCCAGGTTTCCCAGCTGATTCACAATCACACTTGGTTTGAAAGGGATCTACCATGATCAACCCAAAAGCACACAAACAATCAAAAGGGCAGCCATGCCTAGTTGTGGCCAGGGCTGCGCCCCGCGAAAGCGCGCTTGGCTTCAGAAGCCGGTTGACCAAACTTTGAGCAGCGGATGGGCGAAAACTGCAATCTGCAAGTTCTGGGGAGGATCATGTAGACGCCAGAATTGACCCAGCCTGAGGCACTTTGCCTCGGCTCCTGCTCTCGGGCTCCTGAGCCATCAAAATTCCCGTTGCAAACCGTAACAAACCCATCAGAACGCTGACAGATGCGGAGCAAAATTGTAAGCACAAACCACAAACCCGCGAGCCTAAACTAAAGTGAAGTGCTTGCCGTGCAGCCGTCACCATCTTAAGCATGGCGATTCCGGATGTTTACCCCATGGGAAACAGCCAAAGCCACAAATTCAAATGAAATGAGAGTTCCATCAAGGGCGATCTCTGGCTCCCCTCTCCCCGCATCTCTGAATCATTCAAAAATATAAGGACCAACTTGTTGGCAGAGCCTTTACTGCAAAGCAGTCTTCCCAGGACAGGTATGGGCCCGTGCCAATGTCTCACAAACCCCCCTACTTACATATGCATCGTACTGCTGATTGTTGGGCTGACCGTTAACAGCAAATTGCCCATTGCAACGGGCTATTGAACTTCCCGTAGGGCCCAAGTCTTCCTTGCATGTGCTAACCAGCATCCCATCAACAAGACACACTCCACGAAAGCATATATTGTTTGCCACCCGGGCTGACATGACGTGGTCGTTGTCTGGTACCTGCAACTACGCCGTTTCAAGCTGGCTGGATCTTCGGTCCGGCAGACTGGCATACAGGGTGCAGTATAGTCAGTATAGTGTGAGAGTTCAATCTGCTCACGCACTTGCGCTTGTCACACCAAACGAACCTTGCCCGGCCTCGAACGCGAGCTGTCTGAGTGCTGCATCTGGGGTGATCCTGATTCAATGGATTCAATGGATTCAATGGACTGACTCGTTGCTCTGTGACTGTATCGGGAAATGTCATGGCCAACAATCAAAATCCTGTCCCTAGTCCCGTGCACTCTTTGTCCCCGCTGTGGTGTGCTCCTCAAGTGTGCCGTTGCTCTACACTCTACACTGCAACTCAAGCGAAGGCGGGTCCAACACACGCGCCCGAAGGCAGGTCCCGGCGGACGTGCGCTCGAAGGCGGTTCTGACACACGCGCCCGAAGGCGGGTCCGGCGGACACGCGCCCGGGTTCTGCACAGCTCGTCCGGCGGGTCCGAACGAATAAAGGTTTGTCAAACTGCTGAATGAACAAACCGCAAAGTGAAGAGTTTTGTGATTTGTGTTTAGCTGTTTGTTATCACTCTCTGGAGAAAGCTTTGAACAGGCGCTCTTGCAACAGTAGCGCAAACTTCGGCTCCGCTACACTGGCCCCGCTGCACAGAGGCCAGCTGTCAGTGGAGCTTCACCCTCACCAGGCAGCCTGCCAGCATCGAATGCGCTCTTGCAACAGTAGCGCAAACTTCGGCTCCGCTACACTGGCCCCGCTGCACAGAGGCCAGCTGTCAGTGGAGCGTCACCCTCACCAGGCAGCCTGCCAGCATCGAATGCGGATTCGAACAGACATGGCGGAAGAAAAGTAAGCCAGGACCGATTTCGCTCGTATGCAAACCTCGAAAACTTCAATGACTGGCTGCTGGCACCGCGTGACCCCAAGTGTAGGCACGTCTGATCGTTGGTTACAGTGCCAGCATCCAAGCTTTGATGGGGTACTCGCAGGTCAGCGGGTAGTTCCTTTTGGGGTGTGTTGTGATTGAGCTTGCACCTCGGCTACCCCCATGCAACATGCATTGGGTCAGTGCCTCAGTGCCTCCACTCCCGAAAGGAGGACGGCAGAGCTCTCAGCTTGGCAGACTTGACTTTGTCCGCTCAGCTGAGAGAGAGAGAGAGAGAGAGAACGTAGGCACGTCCATTGTCATGTGCGTGTGTGAGCGAGCGTGGGTTCAGCCGATCCGTGTTCCATTGGGTTGGAGATCATATCAGATTCGAAAGCAAAACAACCATACAGTCCATACTCGCTTCAGGTTAAGCAGAATCGCGCTGGCTGCACGAATGTGGTCCCTACACAAGCGTGCTCCTCCATCTCACCTGCAGAGTCAAGCAAGCCGCAGCCTTCTCAACCTCTGTGCAAACAAGATAATCATTAGATGAAGTTGCCGGCCCTTACTGGCGAATCCTTTCTGTCATGTCTCCCGGAGAATCGGCGATGGACAGGAGGGGCCGTTCAACTTCTTTGGAGAGAACCTTTCAGACCAAGCAACCAAAGTTTCCTTTGGCCCTTCTCGACAAGGTTTTTTTCCCCCGGTTTTCCCTCACCCGCATGGGCACACACAATCAACTTGCACCGGCATGAGGCGAATGGGGCCTGGGAGCACCTTTCCAGGAAAGGTGCTGCCCTCCGCCACTGCACCGCATCCGGCAGCCTTGCAGCCTCCGCCGCAGCCTGCGGCAAAGGCCGAGCGAAAGTCGCGCGAGACCAGCAACAGACAGTGATTCAGCCAAGCCAAAATAATTCAGGTCCTGCATGTGCCAGCATGAAATGCATGGATCGCCAGCCCCAAGCCAGGTGATTTGGTCACTTGCATCTCATCAACGGTGCTACCCGCCGTCGGTTGCATCCGGATGACCCACCTCCTCTACACCTGCATGATGAACAATAACTTCCAGGGTCGGCTCGTGCGACTCGATGTCCTCATGCAAACTGCCCCCAAGCCCATGAATTCTCCACGCGAAATGCTTGGCAAGCACATGAATGGAACAAAATAGGTCCCAAGCTCAAAGCCCAAATTCGGCAACCTCTCTGCAACCGAAGCTTCCAGGATGTCGAGTGAGTAAAACTCATACTCAGAGACCTGCAATGTGTCGCTGAGGTCGCCTGAAGTGCTAGACCCATGCCGCGCTACGTTCGAAAAGCACATACAGTTTTCAGCACACCTCACTTGGCAATTGGAGGGATCTGCTGCTTTAGCAACCTCATAAAGAAGGCAAGAATGTCCCACCAAACTAGACAACCGGTGCCTGAAAACACGATCGCGGAGCAGGAGGGCTGAGCACAACCCTTACCAACAAGACCTCCCGCTGTGCAGACCTTCTTCGCTGCTTCCGTCTCTACGCCTGAAAGGCGCTTTGTAAAAAGAAGCCATCACCTGGGCAAGCTCTCCGGGTTTTGTCAAATCTGCTCCGCGTAAGTGCTTGTTTCGAGCCCTGTGCAAGATGTCCACGCAAGCGTTGGCAACGTTGGCCTGCACAAGCCTTCGCTTTGCAAGCTAAGCTCTTTCCAAGCCAACCTCATCTATTCAAGTCTGGCTTGGCAAGTGAAGTCTGCACACAATGTTGTGCGTAGTGTGGCCTTCGCAAATGACATGCTGTACAAACCTATCTGTGTAATTCCTCTCTGTGTAAGCTATGAAGTGTGCGGGCTGATCTGAATTCTCTATTTAACGAATCTGCTCTGTGCAGGTTGGTGTGCACGTTGGTGATCTGTGCTTTCATGTCTGCCGTGTGCATGCTCTTTTCTTTGCAATCGGTTCCTTCACAAGTGAACATTGCGCAAAATGCTACGCAACTCTGCGCACAGCGTTGCTCATCACGGCCAGTCCAAAGTGCGGACACTGGCCTAATGGCCCTCAGGGCAGTTCCTTGCTTTGTCTGCGCTTCCTACAAGGTCCTGGGTGCTCGTTGTGACCCATCAGCCCTTCCAGCTTCATGCCGTGTGCACTTCCAGATGCAATTTTGCCCGGATTGCAGATTGAAACCTCGGAGTCCCCAACTTTTTTGAGTACCGTAATTGGGGAATCGAACCTGCCCGGGGAACTTCGGCTTAGCGCAACTTGTGTGTTTCTGGGAAGTGCTCTTTCCACACGCTTCGCTTGAAAGGCCATACGGAGCAAAGAAGCTGTCGGCAAGCCATGCATCAAATCCAGCACACACTTCCGATTGAGACCGATTTCTCTGCAAGTCACTTCGCATCTCGTACAAGAGGCTGCTCCTGAAGTAATCCTAAGGGGCAAATGCGGACGGAGACAGAGCAGAGATCAGAGTTTGCTCGACAGGCTTTCTGCTTGCTTCTTGCTGCTCTGCATCCCACTTTGTTTGCTTTGGCATGCCCCCCTCTGGAGCCCAAGGCCGCCCCCAAAAGTCACCGAGCCAAATGGGAGCTCTGCTCTAGGAAAGTGAAAGGTCTTTGTGCGCAGGGTAGGGGGTGCAACATTTCCTGGTGGTTGAACAAACTTGCGACAACGGCGGGGCTGTTGGGAGGTTTCTTTGCCGGTTTTGGCCCAGAACTTCTTTCCAGATCAGAAGCTGCGCCCAAACAGCTGACAAGCCGCTTTAACATACAACTCCAAACCATGCAGCTGGTACACGCTTGCAGCCATACTACAAGTTTAAAAGCAGCAACCCTGTGCCCCAATCTCAAGCGGTATCCCACGCAAGCCAACGGCTTGCCAAGTCGCATTCTTCGCCGCCTTTGGGCAAGGTGCCAGCGGAATCAGCACCCGTGCACGGTGCGGCCGGGACGTCTCCAGCTCTGAGAGTTTCCTGCAACAAACAGCCAAACGCGAAGGGTGGCTCGTCCCAATGTAGAAACAAACACAACATTGTCACAACATCCTCCTGTCTTGCAATTGGGGCCCCTACAACTTTCAGCCATGTGAAAGGAACAAACGCCAGCATTCAGGATCTAACATGCTTCCGGAGAATCATGCCAATATGGGTCATTCCCATACCGTCTGCTTTATGCTGTTCAACAATTCAACACTTGTTTTTTTGATATCGCGGAAAGTGGCTCTGTTGCTTCTCGGGCAAATCACCCGGCAGCGCCTTTTGCAGTCGTCTTCTCCAAACGCATGAGGGCCCATCTGGCAGGCATTTGAACCACAAATCCTGAGCTCTCAAAAATGGTGGCAGTGGAATTCTGAAGTGGGGCCTTTTGGCCCAAACCAAGCCCCTCAATTCAGCAGTCGCTTGTTCCAGGGTGCCCGTGCGGCAAGTTGCCGCATTCCACTCTCAAAGCTTTGAGTTGGCATGTTGGCCTCTTGGGTGCTCAAAGCACTGCCAAAACCATCCACCTTCATGTCACATCGCGCCGTCGGCATCAGCGAAAGAAAGTATTCATGTTTGACCATGGCATGCTGTAATTTGGGTGTGCAAAAAATAGTGGACCCCTATAATGAGCGGTTCCCCGTTGGCTTCGCTTTAAGGACCAACCCCAAAAAGGGGCACGCGGAAGAAGAGACAAGCCCATTTGCCAGGAGTCGATGAATGCCCTCCAAGCACAGTGCCATCCAGAATGGTGTTGCCAGCTTCGGGGCAGGGCGGGCTACAGTCTCCGCCTTGGGCTGAGCAAGGCAAAAGCAGGCGTAAGGATACATCCAAAAAACAAGCTTTGCAAGATTTGGATCCTCTATAGCAGCTGGTAAAAATGGCTCACCCTGAAAAGCACGGAAGGTGCACTGCCAGTTTTTGTGGGCTGACAGACTAAACACGCTAGACATGCCACCAGCCACCAGTTGACTCAGCTAACCTTGACGGTCTGAAACCAAGCTGGCATGTGCAGCCGTGCAGCAGCTGGCTTTAGTGCAGTTGTAGGTAAAGATGTCGCCCACTTCAATACCCTGGGACAAAGTAAAGCTCAAAGCGCTGCAAACCTTGTTGCTCGCGTTTGGGCGAGCCTGTCCCTTGTGGCGCGGAGGCACAGCCCGCCTTTATGCCCACGTTGACCGTGACTTTGGCCAAGTACCGCCGCATGCAGCGGTCCCAGTACTCAAAGTCTTCGGGGCAGGTCTCAGACGCACAGAAGGCTGACTTGTCCTGGAAACCGAACCAACCTGGGCACCGCCAAAAATCGGGAGCACTGCCGGAAGTTTGGACCGCTGTGATGTTCTGCTGCCAATCGGGCGTTTGGTGCGTTGGCTTCCCTTGCAAAATGCAGCCGGTCAGCGAGGACCTCACCGTGAACTGGCATCTCTGTCCCATGCCGGGTGCTCATCGCACCCAGAACACGAACAATCAACCCCGTTTTGCGGCCAAGATTTGCCCCCTTGACAGGAAGTGCCGCATCCGGCAACCGGCACTACATCACGGAGACGGGCCGAGCAAAGATTGGGTCCGACTGCCAGAGGCACATAAAATCAGGCTTGCCTCTGAATAGGGGAGCACGCAAAATGGGTGGTGTCTTTTCCCATGTCCCTGAAAACCGCCCCAAGGTACCGATTCCAAAAAGAGACGCACCCAACTCGCGACACCATGAAATAGAGTGACCCCTGTTTGGCCCACTGAAGCTGAGTTTGACTTGGGGTGATGGCTGAAAAGAAAACATAGGGCACGCGGAGAGGGCTTCCCCGACACAAAATTAACCGTCCTCCGGGAGCTGGTCGGCTGGCTGCACCGAGAGGACCTGACGCAAGGCTGCAGGGCCTCCCTGCATGCAGGTTTAGATTGGTGGTTTGGAGGTGGGGGGGTGGTTTCCCACTTACCCTCCACAACAAGAAGGAAACAAGCCTTCAAACCACCAAATAAGATGTCTCAGCTGGAGGAAGGAAAAAAAAACCTGGCCGCGGGCTCGCCCACCAGACCCCAGCAGCGTGTGCTGCTGCTCTCAAGCCACCCTTCTTCCTGTGGCACAAGAGAAATCCAGAATCACAGTGCTCTACTTTCTTTTGTGGGGGGGGTGGCAACCAGCAAGACAGGAAGACGGTAAGACATGGGCTTGTCTCCAAAAAGGGGAACTTCGAGAATGACTGGTTTCCATTTGGTCTCCCTTTAAAATTCAAACCAACCCAGAAGGTCTCAAAACAGGACACACCCACGGTGAAGGCATGGCCGCAATGTCGCCTCCCCCACAAAGACCAAGGGCTTCTCCAGCAGCTGCACCGCCGGGGACAGAAGTGGCTTGCCCGCACGAACTGGCCGCGGGAAGGCGCAGCTGCATGCCTCCACAGAACATGCCAGCGCAGGCAGGAAAGGATGCAAGCAACAGATGCATACCTCCAACCCAACGCGTCTTTCGCAAACTCCATCGCTGACTTCACCGGATACACAACTCCTTGCAAGGACCTTTTGATCAACCCCCCTGTTTTGAACACTGGTCGTTCAAAGCAAACTCTGTTTGGCTTCCCTTAACAAGGGACCAGGGATGGTGAAAAGTGCAAACAACTTGTGTCCAAGCCTTCAGGTAAGCCTCAGGGGTCAAGCTTCCATGCCCCTGGCCTCTGCAGACGCCAGCAAGGCGGCCAAGGCCCAGAGTCTCATGCTCGAAGTTGGGGGCGGGGCTTCAGGCCAGGTCTTGAGGAAAACGTCTTCCAGGACCCCACTCGGGTATGCTCGTGAATGAGGGGGGTCGAAGAAATTGAAAGAGCCCTGAAATGGTTGGAGCTTACGAGCATCTTCACAGGCAACATGAGAATGGTTTCTCTTTGAAGGCTCGCTCAGGAATCCGTATGAAGTAAGTAGGCCTTGAAATGCAAAGTCCTCTTTCAACAACTCAATCTGCATTGCGAGCATGCCGCACTAACATCACAAGGCTCAAAGAACGCACTCAGCTCCCCCCGGGCCTGCCAGGGTGAACGCAAACAGTAAACTGTTGACTTCCCGGGCAAAACGGCAAAGCTCTTCTGATCTCTGGCTTGAGAAAGCTTTGTCTGAAGCTGTGGGTGACACTGTGACATGTTGATCAAACTCTTCCGTTCCTCTGGGTCGCGGTATGGAGAAGCTTTGTATTGGTTGCCTCATTGGTCCAAAGCCCGTAAAGAGGTTGATGGCCATGCCGGGGCTTTTGGCTTTTGACCATGGCATGACCCTCCATCAGCTGTGCTGGAGCTTCTGGAGGACGCTGAAATCGGTGCTGCAAACCTCGACTCCAGGCGCACGCGCGCCCGAAATGCCATGAAAAAAGCTGGTGGAACTCATTTATGGACCGCCCATTGCAAGCTGACCATCCGAGATTGCAGGCAAGTGCACGGCATGTCTTGTGGTGTTGATTTATTCTTCCTGGCTTTGCTGTGGCCCACAACGCTGCACTGTGGTGTACAGCATTCGTCTGCGAACACTGGCATTCAACACCAAGATCCCGGGACGAAGGCATGCTATGAATCATCCTGCTTTTGCGCAGTCAGGCCGACAAAGTTGCGACATTGCTGCTTGCAAACTGCGCTGAGTTTGGTCTAGGTCTGGAGTTGGCTCGGTGAGCTTAGGAGGTGGGGGATGGAAACGTGGGATCCGCGGCTGGAGGCAATTGGTGCGGAATTGCTGTGACAACTTGTTTGAAAATGGCTGTGCATTGAGGGCTTTGGGCCCTGCGGGTGAGAGCAGCGCAAGAGGCTGCGTGCGCTTTCCTGGTAGAAATGATAGTGCTTTGGATACTTTGTTTGCAAAACAATGGTGGGAACCCCAATGGACGGGAGCTATTTGAACCAAGCAGGGTCCCAGGTATCTGTGCGGCAAGACATGGGCGTCAGACAAAGCCAAAAAGAGAAGATCAACATGCCAAAAAGAGAAGATCAAAATGCACAGACTCAGGCACGAAACATATGGGCGTGAAATGTTGATAGGCGGGCGGCCCTTATTTGGACATTTGAAAATTCATTCTCACTAACCACTACCCTTGAAGTTCATTGGCCAACCCAACAGTAAACTCCAGAGCGTCCATTCCCGCCGTCTATCGCTAAGTGCGCAGCCGGGACATTCGCAGGTGCGCCAGCTCCCGTCTGTGCCAGAACCAGCTTCTCGTAGCGCGCCCAGTCGTGGGCACCTGGCAAACCACGGGGCAGCCCCCCCTGGTTAAACATGTTTAAACCACGACTGGTTAAACACTTGCTTTGGGTCTTTGCTTTGAAGGAACGGTGTAGCTCTTCAAAAACAAATTTTGCCCCATCCGCAAAACCGCTGGGCCCATAGGAGCCAACCCGCGCGCGCGAAATCCCCGAGAGTCATTGGATGGTTGCTCCCGACAGTTTCGCCCGACCACGCGAAACTGGAGGAAAAAACAAATGGCACGGTGCCATCTGCTGAACTGCCCTCGTGCAATCCCACTTTGCGGCATCCTAGGTGCTCAGCAAGGCTCGAATTCAAACAGCTTGCCTCAAACCCGTGCCTGTTTTGCACAGCAGGTTCGGCAGCGCCCGCAGCATGTCGTCGCTCCCCGAGCCCAAACTCTCGCGCCAACCTGGCCGAACCAGCCAGCTGATCAGCCGTCGCATGGGCGCGCGTTTTTTTCAGGCTACCCTTTTCAGTTTGGTTGTAAAGAGAAACCACAACTTTATCCCATCCCCACACTGCTTGGCCAAACCGCGACCTTCCGGACCACTCCCCGTCCTCCGTTTTGGTAGGGCACGGGCATGTTCTGGCAAGGCCCCGGCTCCGTGCTGTCCTTGGCAACCCACCATGGGAGAACAAAGGGTCCTTGAAGAATAAGCATGTCCCACCAAACCTGCTAACCCATACCGGTAGTGCAGGAAAACACAGACCGCAAAGTTGCACGAGGTCACATGATTGTCGAAGTCTCAAAGCCAAATGCTGCAGTTATCTCATTCAAAGAGGTCCACGGAAAACCCCCAGATCGCGAAAAGGAAACACGACTTGGCACAATGGGCATCCAACAAGAAGTCCTTCACTTCTCCAGGCCGCCGCGCACGAAGTCGTCAGCCACTTTTCTCCTCAATCCATCCGTGAGGCGTAGCCTATTTGCTTTAGCTCGAGCCCACCCTTCGTGTGAGCATCAAGATTCAAGGACATGGCATGTTCTTCACATGCCCAAAAAGGGGGAAAAGAATTTCCCATGGTCTTCACCCGATGCAGTCTCTGCATCGGGTCTTTTCTTGCACTTGCCTCTCACTGATGTGATGACAACCGCGTCGATGGTAGTGGGTCACGACCACAGAAGAGGGCACCGCGTTCTTCCAGTACTGGAGCTCAAACGATTGCTCCTGGTGCTTCTGCCACAGGGCCGAATACTCCGGCCGCTTGTCAATCTCGGTTTGCGTTGCCACCTCCAGCTTCCGCGTGTTCTTCACCTTCTCCTGCTTCCCAATGATCCACACCTCCGTCACTTTCACAATGCCGTAGATCACCGCCAGGATGACGATGAAGACTCCGACAACAAAGATCACGTCGATCACCTCGTCGCCGCTGTTCTTGTAACCCTCGACCTTCCGGATGTAGTCATTCGCCACCATGGCCACCAACGAACTTGCCACCGCGCTGCCACCACTCGTGACTGTCCTTTGCGGCTTCCGCTCCTGATTAGTCTTCTTCTTCGCTGCCGTGAAGTTGCCGTCGTTGATCAACTGCATGTAGCCTCCACGTAGATCGTCAGCCAATGACTGCCGCGCCGCCAGCTTCGTCGTTCCGTCAGCCAACTGCCTCTCGGAACTGACCCACCTCAGTCTGCTTCCGGTCCAGGTCAACGCGTCCTTGATGCAGAGGATCTGGATTGCTGCCCTCTTGTCGCCGGCGTTCTGGATGGTCTCCCGCTGCGTCGCATCATACAGAGCTCGAGCGTCCACCACCATTGCACTTTCGCCAGCTGCTTGCACCGTCTCACTCTTTCGCAAGTCCTGGTCCGGGTTCAGCATGAGGGAGTAGAAAAGCTTAGTCAGCGTGAGCTCGTCCAAGGCTGTCGAACACGCTTGGCTTTCTGCAGACAACGAACTCCTGCACACCCTCTGCAACCGGAACGATCTCCAGCTCAGCAGTGTGTACCTTTCGCACTCGCCATGCAGCATCTTCTTGTTACAGGCCATGATGATATAGCCGCCCTGCGACGCCATGTCTCGTCGCACTCCAAATGCTGCATCACTGAAGGCAACAAACCCCAGCTCCTTGATGTCGTCCATCATCTTCGGGAACTTGTGCACCACATCCTAGTTGCTCTTGCCAAAGCGCAATGCCTTGTTCAGCTCGTTCAGCACGCTGCGCTCCTTCGCGGCGATGTCGCCTGCAAGGATACTTGTTGAAGCACATAGATGTGGCGCTGCTTGTCCTGCTGGCCATTGAAGAGCACCCAACAGTGCTCGACTCTTGGAGACCTCCTTGTCGGTTAGGTTGCCGGTGTCCTTGTTGTTCACCGTGATGGGCATGACTTTCCTGAGGTAGTCCGCAAAGCTCACCTCGATCTCGCCGTTCTGGATGCTGATCGTGCCGCCACAGTACACAATTGGCTCTTTCTCCTGCAGCTGTTTCCACTTGCCGAAGTCAAAGCTTGCTCTCACCTTTCTCACAAGCTCCACCACTTCCTTGTCTCTCATGTCCGCGTCGAGCAGAATGTCGTCCACATGGACAATCAGAATCGCCTTCATCTCGCCAGTCGTCTGCTTGTAATAGATGAAGAGACACTTGTCGATCCTGTGCTGGATGAAATTCAGCGACTGCAGTCTCGACGTTGCCTCCTTGTACCACAACAGTGGTGCATCTGCCAGGCCGTACGCGCTCTTCAGCAGTCTCATGTATGCCGGGCCAACCACTCCAAGTAGTGGTCCGCAATCACTCGGCAGCTTGACAATGATCTTCCGGTCGAACTGCGATCCAGACAGGAAAGCTGCTCGTACGTCACCAACTTATAGATTCCAGTGGTTGTTCTGGACAATCAGGAGGAGGAAGTTCTTGCCCAGCCTTCCGGCTGTTGGTGATGCCTTATCAAGGTAGAGCAGGTCTGGATCCTCAAAGCCTCGCAGCACCAGACGTGCTTTGGCTCGGGGTCCACCTCCTTCAGTTTCCTTCCAGGTCAGCACCCATCGCGCAGAGACGATCCGCGACTCATCTCCGGGGTTCACCTCCGCAAAGTTCCACACCTGGTTCCGAAAATAGTTCTCTGCCTTCTTCGCCTCCATAATCTGGGCTCGCTGGTCAGCCGTCATGTTCTTCTCGGACGCCTCATTCTTCCGAAGGTTCTTCACCAGCCACGAACTCACCGTCCACGCTTACCCAACCGGCAGGTAGATCTGGTTCAGCTCCATCCACAAACGTCACATCCTCCACCATGAGATCATCGTCATCCTGCATGGGCACTGGGACGTCAACAGGAGCATCCGATGCCTGTGCAGTCTTCTGCCGCTTGCTTCGCAGGTCCTGCTGTTCATCCCGTCCATCAGGTGCTTGTGGTTCGGCTGGTTGTGCTGGCTGCGATGATTGTCGCCCTTCTGAAGATGCTGGGCCACGTCCTTCAGCCTCAGCTGGCGGCAGTGGTTCTGGTTCAACTGTAGACGCCCTTCGGGATCTTGGCTCACTGGCGTCATTTTTCTGCTCCACATTTCTCGCATGCGCCTGCAGGAATGGCACCACAACTCCAGGAACCGAGATCACCTCGGCTGACCCCGCCGGTGATGTTGGCGAGGCTTCCTCATCAAAGTCCAGCGCCTCCGGCTCATACATGGCGTCCAGCTCATCTTCGTCCTGTTCCTCGTGAATCGTTGGGTCAAAGACATCCTTGTACTGCGTGGTAGATCGTGCTCGGAGTGCTTGTAGATCTTGTAGTGCAGCGTTGGGATCAGCCACCAGCGGGATGCCCGTCTCCTCCACTCGAGGACGTACTTGATGGGGCGAACACCTCAACAGTGATGTTCCATGCGCCAGCCAGATCACGAGGTCCTTGTAGTCGCTGTCCTTCTCGGTAGCCACCACTCGCGCAGGTCCTCGCCATTTCTGCTTTTGCAAGATGCCCGCGCCCTTCTCTCGCCAGTAGTACACCACCTGTCCGATGACCACGTCATCCTTGATCTGACGGTAGTTCTGATTCATAGCTCTCCTCAGTCTTGCATCACCATCTGCGCTGCAAGCCGCTTCTGCTGCACCACTGACCGTCGGGCTGAAGATCTCTCCCGTCAAAGACTGCACCTGGTTGGGGTTCTTACCCATCACCCATTGCTGGGGCGTGAATCCTCGCACCATGCTCATCGAGTTGATCTGCGAGGGGACATATACACAAGCCTGCAGGAGTCCGCTATCATTCTTCTTGCCGGAATCCTCCATGTACAGCTCCAGCGCTCGTCTCACCACTTGGTGCTTTCTCTCAACAGCGCCCAACCAGTTGTGGCTCTCCGCGGGTGCGATCTCCAGGGCAATATTCCGCTCTGCCGTCCATTCTCGCAGAGCCTTGCTCGCCCAGCCCTTTGCTTCGTCTGTGCGCAGGTACTTCGGGATGCCAAACTGCTTGATCCATGCCCGTTCGACACCCTTGATCAGGTCCTCCGCCTTCTCGTTCTTGAGAATCCGGACCGCAATGTACCGCGTTGCTTGATCTTGGATTGTGAGCACGCAGCGTCGTCCTCCTTCCACTGCAATCCAGGCCGAGTCCACAACGATGCGGTCGTTGAACTCTTTGCTGGTCAATCCAGCAGCAGGTGGGACACCTCCTGGTCGTTGACGAGCAACACACTGTGGGCACAGATACTCCTCGGCCGCCTTCAGCACATTCTCAGTCGCCTGCACTTCCATCAACATCTGCTTGAGCACCGGGGCAGATGGATGTCCCAGGTTCTTGTGCAATCTCTTGACGTAGCCGAAGACCTGGTTCCCCACTTTGGCCTTGAGAACCTTGTTCTTCTCAATGACCTTGGTCTCGTTCTTCAGCTTGAGCTTGTTTATCTCGCTGTCCATCACCTGCAGGTTCTGCTGGTACCGCGGCCTGACTCACCGGCTCCATCACCACGTCCTCATCGGCAGCATGGATCTTGTCGATATTGCCTCAGCCAACTTCCTGGCTAACGCAATCGGGTAGCTCTCCGCCAACTTGGTCCTTGGGCCTGCTCCAGGTGCATTGCCTTCCAGTGCTTGATGTGGCTCACCGCATTGGCAGGTCCTGCCAACCTTGTGGTAGAGATGCTTCTTCGTGGTGAGGAACTTGGTCGGCTTCTTCGATGGTCGCACAACTCCTTCATCATCGGGTACCTTGAGTCCATAAGCGCATTGGTCCACGTAGGTCTCATAACCCGGCAGCTGATGCCATGCTTTTGTCATCCACGCTCTGCTGGTCCAGGGATGCTCCAACGTCACCTCTCTGCTGTTGTTGTACTGCTCCATGTACACCCTTTTCACAAACTGCAGCACGTTGTTATGATCTTGCCGTCGAAGTTCCACCAGCTTCTGCTTTGCCTCGGGCGATCTGCTCGCGCTCAACTCTTGCATCTGCGACCACAGTCTGCACATCGGCGCCATCAGGATTTCATCGGGCTCCTCTTCTTGCACGCGATCCAGGAACTTCGCCTGCACCTTCCTGTCCGTCAGGTCCCAGCCAGTGTGTAGGGAGAATACCCCCACTTCGACATTCTTCATCTTCGCAAGCACCTTGCAACAAACACTTCCCAGATCTTTCGCTTCTGGGCTCCTTTCTCGCAGTCCTTGGCCTTTCTCAACATCCTGTTCTGGGTCGCGATCTCCTTCTCCGCCCCAGTGATCATGGTCCTCAGCTTCTTCTGAGTGAGTCGGCTCGTCTTTTCCGAATTCTCCATGCATACTCCAGCGAACCGCACCTCCAAGGCTTTCTGATTCCTCTGGGTCTTCGAGTCCAACTCGGCATCAGGCTGTCGCCTGGCATCAGGCCCTCCAGGCCTAGCATCGGATCGAGATCCGGCATCAGAATCACCCTGGCATCGCCTGCTGGTCGTCTGCCCCAGCACCATGTCCGCTATCCTCCTCCACAGCATTGATGGCATCGTCCTCATTCAGGGCCTCTATGCCCAGGTCCTTCTGAAAGTCAACGTGGTTGATGGCGTTCTCCGGGATCAGAATCTCCTCATCTTCGGCATCCTTCAGCTCGTCCACATCCTCAGCAAGGTGTAGCTGGTGTTCTCCACGTGGTCCAACTGGGATGTCGATCCACTGTCCATGAGGCCATTTCATCCGCTTGACCGGTCGGCCAATGAGGATCGGCACAGTCCCGGAGATGACATACATCAACATGCGCCTCTTCTTGCCGCCCATGTAGGTGGGCGCCATAACGCATACCTGTGAGTCACCCTTCTCGGAGTTGCCGTACTTGAAGCTCTTGGTGCAGGGATGAACTTGGATCTCATCCCTGGCAACACCCTTCTCCAGGAGGTACTTCAGGTACTTCCGGACCTGCTGGCGAGATGCCAACAGTGATGCTGCACCTCCATCCTGTACGGCCACATCGTCACTGTCCGAGTCGTCCTCGTCTAGGTGGTAGATCCTGCGGTCGTCGTCCTTGACATCGTCAGCATCCTCCACCATGTTAATGTCGGCATCCTGGTCCGCCACGCGCTTCCTCTTCTCCCCAGCAGATGGACAGTTCCTTGCCCAGTGGCCTGGCTGGCCACATCGCAAGCACAACTGCTTGCCCACTGCAGCCTTGCCTCTTGCCTTTGCCGATGAAGAAGCCGTCGGTGATGCTGGTGCCGATCTCGGTAGGGATGATCCTCCGCCACGTCCATGCTTTCCACCACCAGACTTGCCCTTCGACCGCTTGCCTTTGCCCTTGTCCTTGTCCCGGCTGCTACCTCCCCTGGCGTCAACCATCGCCACCACCGGATAGAATCCTCGGGAAGTTCGCATCCGGTTCATCTGGTTCTTGGTATTGATGTAGGCAGTATAGACCTCATCATACTCCTCCACATCAAAGATCTCGGTCTCTTCCGTGTCCTGGACCGGCTGGTCGAAGTAGTCCTCATCCTGATCGTTCCACTCCTCGTCATCATCACTGTAGAAGTAGATCTCGTGCGGGTGCTGCGGGAAGTCGTTCACAGAGGCCTCCTCAGCTCCCCAGTCGTTCGTGTAGTACACATCCTTCCGGGGGCGCTCCGCCTTGCTGTCCTGGCCGATGATAAAGAACATCGCCTCCTGAGCTCTTCCCAACGTCATGTTGTCCGCACCCATCATCGTGAGGACCATCTGGCGTTGCTCCTTGGTCACTCCAGCTCTCCGGATAAACATCCATGACAACACCTTCTCGGGGAGTTCCACCCGATGAGTGTTCTGCAGTCTCCTCTGCGACCGCGCAAACTCCGCCGCATACTCCTGCATGGTCTCACCAGGTCGCCGCTGCAACTTCACGAAGAAATTCTCAAAGTCGTCCGGCAGCTCTGTCAGTGGCTCGTGCTTGAAACCTCTGTCCAACCTCTCAAAGATCATGTCGTAGCCACCATCCTCTGCCAGGCGCTCCATGTCCAGATCCTCCACCAAGTCGCAAGCCTTGCCCGTCAGCATCGTGATGATGTTGAAGGCAGTCTCCTTGCTTCGTCCTGCGAGTTCCATCTTCTTGCGATAGATTGTGCACCTTTTCCGGTACTCGCGGTAGTCCTGCTGCTTGCCAGTGAAGGTGGGGACATAGCTGTCAGCACGGCTGTTGTTATCTCCCTTTCCAGTTCCTTTTCCTCCGCCATCACCATCTGTGGTTGCCATCATTGGAGTAGGTAGCGTCCACGGAGCAGATCTGGTCGTAGAGCTCCGCTACCAACAACAAGAAGTCCTTCACTTCTCCAGGCCGCCGCGCACGAAGTCGTCAGCCACTTTTCTCCTCAATCCATCCGTGAGGCGTAGCCTATTTGCTTTAGCTCGAGCCCACCCTTCGTGTGAGCATCAAGATTCAAGGACATGGCATGTTCTTCACAGCATCCATAAACGTGCTCAACATTATCATGAAGTGAATCATTCCGATACGCCATGTGTAACGCATGTGGCTGCCGAAATTCAGAAAAGAAGTGTCTCCAAATAATTTCCGGGACAAAATACCGTGTTCCCGTTGAGGTGCCCCTTGTTTTTGTCGCAACTTTTGATATTGCAAGTGGCTCGGGGTGGGTTTCCACAAAGCAGGAGGCGGGTCATCAAGATTTCGCGAAGGCATCTTGCTGAGGTATCCTAGCTTTGGTGCGACTGAAAACTGATCCAAGTGACTCCAACGAGTTCACATCAAAGCTGGCTTTATCAATCTGAATTCCACATGCCTCTCAGCCACCCCTGGCGCTAGCAACAATCCAAAGAACCCTCGGGTGCCCCGCCATGGAGGGCCAACATCATGCGCACAAGGGTACATGGCCCATGTTTTCTAGGGGCATTCAGCGCGTCAGAAATAATTTATTGCAGCCAAGAATCCAGGTAGAGGCATGTTTTCGAGCCGCTCCGCGCCTGTTCCACATACAGGGAGTTGACACCGCAGTCGAAGGGATCGCAAGTGGCAACCTGGGCCGCATTCCATTCTGAAGATATTCTAAGCCAGTGTCGCCCAGGTTCTGCCGGCCGGCTTGGGTCTGCTAGCTTGCTCGCTGCTTCATGTGTCATTATGGTGCGTGTCACTCGTTGCTACACCATCTGCCAACTCCTCAGGGAAAGGATTCATGCACACCACCTCCAATGGTCCATGTTTGCAATGTGCGGATGCCTTGCGCGTGCTTCATGTGCCGAGCTGCCAAGTCATCTGCATTCAGACCTTGGATCTGATCCTCCGTCCAGTTCAGGTCCTGCCACGTTAAAGGGCAGGGTAGGTCAGTGATGGCAACCATGGCTATAGGCTTGGGGACTTGCAACTATGTGGGGATCTATGGTGACTAACCACATAAGAAGTACCGCCCCGAAGGGTACTGTACCGCAACTGTGCAGTCGGCCCATCCCAGACGTCAGACCCATCAATGAATCAATCCCATCCACTGGGTCCGGGTGCCCTTTAAATGCTGAAAAAGAAAAACAGGAAACCCTCTGACTTACCCTGATTTACCATGGCTCTATGAACTTGCTTACCAAACCACAAAACCCGGTGTGAGTTGCATCCGAGCCCTCGGTCCTGTATCAGCGCCTGGTGAAAGGGCGTGGGTGCAAAGGTCAGCGCCTTCAGCACCTTTGGCTGCCGCGCCGCAGTGACGATGGCCAACATGCCTGAGCGCCGGTCGAGTCTCGCTGTTTTGGAGCTACTCCTTTTGGTGTTTTAAGGAGAAGCTCCTGTTCGTCTATTGTAAGACACACCCATTTCTCTAAGTCTCCAAGACACCGCCATGTTACCCGCATGTCTTTCCTCTACATCCAAATGTTCGTCGACATTGAGCATCGGGGATCTGCAAACTCAAGAGATTCCCAAAGGACCTGACGGGTTTTCGCTCCGAACCTGCGGAATCTCTCTTTCTGGCAGACGGGCGAATTCATCAAACCGCTTACCGCTCTCCGCCAGGTGGCCGCCCATCGAGTGGCCCGTCAAGGTGATGCTGAAGCCAGGCAAACCTTGCTGCACCTCGCGCACCAGGCGGTCCGCCTGGTCTTCGAAATTCAGCAGGTGCGCGAATCTCCGGCAGGTCTCGTCCTCCTCCACAACCCCTCCTCCCTCCCGCAAAAAAAATGAAAGAAAACTGTTGGGTTTTTGTTGGAGGCAAAAGCAGCCCTTTTCAGACTGATTTTAAAGAAACCAAAAGGAAAACCACAATTTGCTTGCCCCGCCCCATTTCACATACCCAGTCACCATGCTAGCTGCCTGCGCCAAGAACAAAACTTGCTAACTTGCTGGCCCTCAGTAGAGGAATCTGAGAAAGGCAAAAATGCCGGCGTCGCCTCCATGCAGCCAAGATTCCGCGCCAAAGGCCCGGCTTAGGTCCTTTGACAGGGCGCCGTACGCCTGGATCTTTGCCAGGAAGCACGTGTCAATGATGCACTGCTCGCCGCCTCGGGATCTGAGCGCGGAACGCCACACAGCGAATCCATTGCCAGGGGACCACACAGAGGACTTCACCCAATCTTGCGGCTTTCGGATTGGCTTTGAACAACACCCAGGGTTGGCGGCTCAACCCCCTTTCGGCGTCCTGAAGGCGGCGCCAGGGGCCTCCCGGCCTTCCACCCCGCCTGGCTGGCAAATGCCCTTGAAGGCCACCACCGCGCTGCGGCCGGACGTGAAGACCCGGGCGAAGACACCCCCGGGCGCCGGGTCCCGGTCGAAGCGCCGCAGCCGCTGCCAGCGCCGGCCCCCTACGTTTCTTTGGTCTCGGGCGAACCCATGGATTTGTCGACCCAAAATGGTCCGGTGGAACAGGTCCGGTGGAACTGGTTGGGTGTTAAACCTGAACAAGCTTGTATCCCTGCAGCGCTGTGCACTACTCTAGCTGTACTTCACCCATTCTTTTCGAGGACCCTGGGACACTTCCAATTTCAGGAAATGGCCACGCACCCAAAAGAACGCGTGATACAATGGGGCTCAGCTTTTCGAGCAATGCTCCGACTTTCCGACAAGTTCTAGCCAACACCTCCCTACACAATCCGGCACCTGCATCGAAGCCATCTAGGCGGTCGCTCTCGGGGTCGAAGAGGGGCTGCGTGGTGTTGTAAGCCATAGAGTTGGCACGGACCAAGACCTCCATGCCCGACAAAAAGGAGCCTGGCCGCCAGCGGAAGCTGTTGACTGGACTTCCACAACATAAACCGGCACAAACCTGTCAGAAGGGAAGAGGCTTTGGAAACCATGGTGTTTGATTGTTTCTTTGTTTCTTTTTGTTTTTCGGGATTGTTTAAGCTTGTTTAAGCAGGAAAGTAAAGGGAAACCACCCATGGTGTTGAATCCCAAAGTGCAAACAAACCCTGCGCATTGTGCGCAGGGCTCAAAGTAGAACCCGGGCGCGCCTTGCGGATTGTCTGCAAGAATGGACTGGAAATCAAAGAAGTCCTTTCCAGCCGGCCTTAGCTCAGCTGGAAGCCCAACACTCCTTTTTGCTGGCTGTTTTTTTACACTTGTCAAAGTCTCCTGAGTGGGTTAAAAGTAAGCATCCCCAATGGTTGACTTTGATAACCTTCCGTCAAAATAAAGCCCTTTGTACTGGTGGACGCCAGGAGCATCTTGCCATAACCTCGTTGGAACAGGCGCAACCTTGCTCTCGAGGCGCGGCAGCTTAAAGTTGTTCTGCAAAACGTGCCGTTTGCACACCAGCAATGCTGGCTCCGGTTGGAAAAGCACAATCCAGCAAGCCCCGTTGGTTCCCTGGGCCTGTTTCCGAGGTGTAAAGCAACTGTTAAGCTGGAAAACTGTGGCGGTCCTATCCGTCTGTTCCCTTGAATGTTACTGGAAGGCACGCGCGGCTACAGGCTTTCCTCTGTACACGTTGGGCCTGCAACAAGATACGCTTAAAGTCGGAAGGCAACAAGAGACATATGATGATTGCTCGGAAGAGGCAGAGCAAAACAAAAGAAATACCGTACTTTGACCTTCAGCATCTAAGTTACTCATGAGCATGTGTGGGCCAATATGATACAGTATAAGTTAGACTCTGTTGCACCCGCGCGTCGTCAAGAACTGCTCTGAGCCTGAGACATCAAATTCCGTCGAAAATCGCTGCAAAAAGAGACACTCTGCGCGTGTGTCTTCGGCTGTGTGAACGGTGATGACCTGCTCACCTCACAAAGGACCTACGAAGCACACAGAAATCGAACAGGTGGAGGTAGCAATTGATCAGTTGAATGTGTCGCTGTGCCTTTGGTGGGATACCAGTTCCTCCTTGTAACTGGCTCTTCTGGTAGTAGTCGCGACTACGCATGATCGATCTGGTGATGGGCATCTTTTGTGCTGGACTACTTGTAATCCACTGGCTCCCTCTTCTGCGTCTTTGATGTTCACTCTGAGAGGATGAGCATCTCATTGTTCAAGCGCTTAGTGCTCTGAGGATGTAACTCCGTAATCTCGGAATGCCTTGGCTTTGTCGTCTTCAAATTCGCAGCACCCGTTGTCGTCAATGTCGTTGCGCCCAAGCCTTTGCCGAATTGGAAACATCATGTCAGCACGCGTTCATGAAAGGTCGTCACACGAAGATCTTTGCTTTGCAAAGAGCACGCCACGCGCCATATCCTTAGGGGTGGCTGTGGATTCTATCTGGGGTGAGGGTACCATGGGGCGCGGTGTGACCATTGAACCCAAGCTTCACATCTTCCACAAGAGCAATCACCAGTCCGACAACTTGGATGACATGTCACTCGATGGACGTGGAGTTGGCTGTTTGTTGAAGTCGCATGCCGCAGTGGTGCTGCAACACCAGCGGCAAGAACGCCCGCTCGATAAACATGTCCCCGCTCGTAGTTGGAATCTGCCGTCGGATTCTGGAACTCTACGAGAGCAACGATCTCACACTGGGTTGAAAAACGGACAAAAGCTATGTCTCGGCAGTATCATCCACCAGTTCAGAAACGCATAAGACTCCTTCCAAGACAGCCATCTATTTGCGCGGGAAGGAGGACGGACATCTCTAAAGCCATGGATCGGACAATTCTTTCTGCATCAACAAAGCAAGGAGGATTTGGAAAAAGAGCGCGAGCATTACCACAAGATCCACAAAAAGAGCGCGAGGTTGACTCGGGTTTATCCTCCGGAAGACATCTACTATGAAGATGACTCTCGCAAACCATGAATGAAGACTTTCAGAAATAACAGACCCGATGCTCACGCTCGTCACCTCCTTGAAGCAGCTTACCCGCATCCGAGCAGGATTGCAAGGGATAGTCGTCAGCCAGACAGGAGCTCGAGCGATTGGACGTAGCGTGCAAGGAGACAGGACAAGCCGGGTTGAGCTTGTGACAGGACGTGAGACAAGAAACTGCGCCACGACTACGGGCATCTCTTTGAAATGGCAACTGGGGAAGAGGATGCTTCATGCACTAATTCCAGATACGATTGCCTTGCAGCCACTGACAAGACAAGAGACTTATAAAAGGGCCAGACTCCTTCCTCCACAAAGTTGCTCTTGTTGAAAAAGTCCTTGATGAAATCTTCGATGCAACAGGTGTATTTTTATACTTCTCAGCTCTTCTGATCAATGCAGAAATCCACTTTTGGTCCGCTCTTTTCGTTCTCATGACACAGCACAAACGAAATGGATTCCCTCGTTCTTGCTACCCGCCTTGTTGGCTTTGATTCGGAGAGGCTGAACCGCAACGACGATGATCGTTGATCTTCCTTCTTGCGCTGACTTGAAAACATGCCGGGAAGGCTCACATAGTCATCGCCACACGCCATGTGAACATGTACTCTTCCCTTGTCCCTGGTCCTTGCTTCCCTTGTATTTGGAAGACCTTGGCTCATCCTGCCTGCAATCTTCTCTCTTGACTCAGCAATATGTTCATCTTGCTTGTCATCATTCCAGTTTTGCAACCATCTCTGGCTTGACCAAAAGGTTGGCACTTTGGCCAGCTATCTATATCTCTCACGTGTCCTGCTAAACGCCTGACATGAAATTCAATCGCCTTATTGCAATAACGATGTCCGCCGGGCATGGGCCCTGAGTTCTTGGAATCGAAATGGTGTGGCAAATGTCTGATCCGTCGGCGTGACGGAACAATATGTTGTCTGGCGACTCTCCCCCTGTGTGTTCCGTCATATCTTGGACATTGGAACTACAAGTGCCAGATCATGCATGCTTGTCCAACTCATGTCGGAGCGCTTGCGAAAACATTGCGCTCACTCTCTCAACTCTCCACAAGACCAAGGAAGCAATTCCACCTGCATGTCGCTCATCGAGATGCCTCGTCAATGCGCAAAGAGATTTCGCCTTCCACCATCTGACCAGGCACCGGACACTATGGTGTAGTCCGCGTCCAGCGCAATACTATCGGTAACAAGTTATTATCGAATTGTTCTGGTTGATATTCGATGTTGCAGGCTGATTCGAGTGCACCTTGGAGTTGTAATCATGCGGGGACCCAGGTCTCGGGTGGTTGTTTCTGCATCTGGGCTAGGCGATCTTTCTGAATTTGTCGTCTTGTCAGGGGCATGTCGGAAGTGAGGGTGCCAGTGATGAACACGACTCTTGCTAGTCGTGGTGGGCGAACACGGAAAATCGTTCATGGTCAGATGGGTTCCATTGTCACCCCATGAAATGCCTGATCTTGTTGATATGCAAGGACAGGACCCTGAGCGCCTTCAGCAGGAAAACAATCTTCTTCTAATCATCTTCAGCATGGACCTTGTTGGGATAGAGGGCACACCTCTGACAATGATGTTCCGTCTCATCATCTGCATCGGAGTGTCATTGTGCTTTTGGCAGGCATCATTCTCAGCATCGCTCTCCCGGTCAGAATCCGCATCCATAGGTTGTGGATCTCTGTTTTTGGGTGGCAGGTCCATTTGATCTGGGCAGAATCGCTGCAATACGGTTCAGATCCAGGATCGGATTTGACCAACAACAGACCCGCAAAAC